CTTAATATGCCTACAGACGTAGTAATATAGTCAATATAGAGGCCTCTTCCACCCAATCTTTTAATATTATTTAATATTAATATTCAATATTTGTTCTTTCTTCGTTGATTAATATATTTATCGAAATATTTTAATTATTTTAAACTTATTGTTAAAAGGAATAGAAGTTACCGGTACTAATCACGTGTCGTGATTAGTAATACGGTTACCTAAACAGGCTAGATTAGATGAACCATAAGCAGGCATATTGGTCCCCTCTGAGGATACCAAGAGGAGATTAATATGCCTACACACGTAGTAATATAGTCAATATAGAGGCCTCTTCCACCCAATCTTTTAATACTTATTTTATTATTTGTTTATTTATTAAAAGTAGATTTAATAATTTAATCCATAGGAAAATCGATTTCGGTATATCAATTAAAAAGATGAACTTTGTGACGCCTCACACCTCCGGGTCACGTGGCATGCCCCGTTTGTATTTAATCATAGGAAAACTCTCTACTCTTGTTTTCCTTCTTCTTTTCTCCTTAGCTTAGTATTTTCTAATACAAGATACTTTACCCAGTATTCTTGAGTGTGACAAACTTGTTCTTAAACTATCAGAAATGAAAGTATAGTTTCACCCTCTCTATTACTATATATAATTGCCATAGCCCATTCTCGATTGTCTGATTGTATTGTCTTGCTTCTATTATTTCTTTCAGAACTAATTACAATCATTTCAGAGTATATTATACCTATTATAAAACTGATTTCATCGAAGTTGTAGAAATCGCAATCTTGAATACTATATTTCGCCTGTATATTTAATATTAATCCAAATCATTCTTCAATAAATTTGAGATCTTTATAAAAAGCTCTTTGGAAATCATAAATATAACTAAAACACATCTTTAATTTTGTATAACACTTTACAAATCGATAAACCTAAAGCTTTGTTGAAATTAAGGTCATTATGGGCCTAGAATTGAGGTCATATGACCATTATGGTGCACGGACCATAATTGGGAATATCTTCAATTCTACCATTACTGTAACTTAGATCCTTAGTTTAACCTACATCTAATAATACTACTACTTCCAAACAACTCAGTTTCAACAAGCTTTCCAATTCTCTTCGCATCTCTTGATTCGAGAATATAATTCGCTATATCTTCTACATAATTTAATTTAGATGCAAATCCTTTTTCATCTATATCGATAATATACTAAATAAGTATCTCTTTTTCTTTTTCAATCAAATTAAGATTACTTGCTCGAGTTTCCATTTTGTGAATTCGACCGCTCATTCTATCTCGTAATGTAGTTCGAGAGACTTTGTAGATTTTCGCAGCCTTTCCAACTGTAAGATTTTTTGATTTTTGAATAGCTTCAATAACTAAGATTATTCTGGCCTCTTTTGATTGTATTTCCATAATAATTCGTTGAAATATCGCGTCTTGATATTGAATGATAAAAGATATTGAAAAAGTGGCGACTCGCTGATAGTGGCGACTCGTTGATAAACCACGTTAACGTGGTTTATCAGTGGGTCGGACATATCAGTGGGTCGGACACTTTTCCAATATCCTTTACTCTCTCACTTCAATACGCGTTTATTCAATAGTTATTAATGGAAATTCATTCAAAAGAAGCACGAATAATCCTGGCCATTGAGGCTATCGAATTGAACAAAAGATTGACGATTCGAAAGGCTGCTAATTACTATAGTGTGCCTCGATCTACATTATTCGACAGAATTCAAGGTCGTAGTAATATGGCTGAAAGTCGACCAAAAAGTCATAATTTGACTGAATTAGAAGAGGAAATGCTTATTTAATACATTATTGATATGGATGATAGAGGATTTGCCTCTAAATTAAATAGTGTGGAAGATATGGCGAATTATATGCTCGAAACACTGGGTGCGAAGAAGGTTGAAAAGCTCTGGGCTCATCGCTTTGTAAAACGACGTTCAGAATTAAAGACATGTTTTAATCGTATTTATAACTTTCAAAGAGCTCTTTGCGAAGATCCAGAGCTTATTGAAGAGTGGTTTCAATTGATATCGAATATGCAGGCGAAATATGGGATTCAGGATTGCGATTTCTACAACTTCGACGAAACAGGCTTTATGATGGGTATAATATGCCCCGGAATGGTTGTAACTAGTGTTGAACGAAGTGGCAGAAGCAAGGCAATACAACCAGGCAATCGAGAGTGGGCTACAGCAATTATATGTGGCAATGGAGAGGGTGAAACTATACCTCCATTTCTGGTAGTTCAAGGACAAGTTCATCTTTCCAATTGGTATACCGAAACCGATTTTCCTGCGGATTGGGCTATTAAACCTACTTCCAATGGATGGACGAATAATGAGACAGGCCTAGAATGGTTAAAGCATTTCGATAAACATACTATTCGTCAAAGAAAGGGCAAATATCGAATGCTAGTATTGAATAGGCACGAAAGCCACGAATCAATACCTTTTCAATCATATTGCAAATCAAATGATATTATATGCCTCAAATTACCACCACATTCAAGTCATTTAACTCAACCACTTGATGTTGGATGTTTCGGTGTACTTAAACGTTCATATAGTTCTCAAATTGAGGAATTTATCAAGGCACATATCAATCATATCACTAAAGTTGAATTCTTTATAGCTTTCAAAGCTGCATATCAACAATCATTTACTATTCAGAATATGAAAGCTGGTTTTCGAGGAGCAGGTCTAATACCATTCGATCCTCAATCTATACTTTCAAAACTAGATATTAGGATTCGTACTTCTACCCCTCCATCTACCTCCTTGGAACTTACCAACTCCTGGATCTCTCAAACCCCTCATAATCCAACTGAGGCTCTCTTACAATCAACTCTAGTAAAAGCTCGAATAACTCATCATCAATCAAGCTCTCCTACACCTATATTTGAGACTGTACAAGCTTTAGTTAAAGGTACAGAGAGATTAGCACATGAAGTTACACTTTTGAATACTGAGAATCGTATGCTTCGAAAAGCAAATAAAGTATTAAGTAAACATCGACGCGCTAAAAAAATTCAACTACGTAATGGAGGAGTACTTACTAGACAAGAAGCTGAAGATATATTATCACAACAAAAGGTTGATAATCAGATTCAACACGACGAGCATCAAAATGAGGGAAATTTTAATAGGGAATCATCTACTAGTCGATGCTGTAGTAAGTGTGGAAAGACTGGTCATAATTCAAGAACTTGTCAGAATAGTATAATAGATCCTAGATTATTAGATTCTTGATAGTTTCAATCAATTGATTTAATTGTTGTTAAATAATATGGGTTTGAAATGATAAATTGAGGTAAAAGTGGCCCGCTCGGTGATATGGCCCGCTCGCTGATAAACCACGTTAAATCATTAAACTATATGTCACGATTCACCATTAGGATTAGTGTCCTGGGATAGGAATGAATCACGTGATAAGGAGCCCTAGAAGCCCTCAAAGCTCCTGGAGGCTCCCTTTATTGTTCATTATATAGTCAGAATAGTTTCATAGTTTAAGAGCTTCGTACTCAACTTAGTTATCAACTAGTTTACCTACATTCTACTTGATCTAGTAACGACTTCACTTCCAAGTGAATACCGGTGATAAAGCCTTAACCCATAACTACCAACCAGACGAAACCTTAGGCAGCCGCTGCCTCCAGTACAGTATCGTTACACCATAATACTTTTTATTTCTACCATCTTAACCTCAACCTCAACCCCAACTCCTTTCTATTAACTTTCAAAAAGAATTAAGTTTATAAAATAAGATTCCTTTCATTCTTTTTAAACTATAAATATAAAAACAAACTCACTCATTCATTGATCTCCTTCCTCTTCCTCTTCTCTCTCCCCCCTCTTCCTCTTCTCTCTCCCCCCTCTTCTTCTTCTAAATACCAAACTCCGATTCAAATTTCAAGCACCTTTACATCTTAATCTTTTATTTCATAGAAGAGAATATTTATATAAACAATCACATTACTGATTGAAAGGACGGTTACTTCTTGGAGGAGATTCATTGTGTCTTTTTTTATAGGATTAATTTTTGAGGGATGGATATTCTCCGTTGAGAAAGGGGTAGGTAATAAGTGCTTGTTATTGCCCAACAGAAAATTAGAAATCAGTAGAGTGACTTTAGGATATGATATCATTCCTGAAACCCAACATGGTAAGTCGTATATTTGAATATGCATTCTTGCAGTCCAATTCCATAATGATGTGATGTGTAAATCCCACCCCTCAAAGATATCACTTATAACCACCCAAACCAACCATTATCTATCCACATCCCTGTACTCCGAACACCTAAACCCTCTCAGCTTTCTTAGTTGTCTCCTCCGTAGCCTTTTTCTTTTCCTTCAGCGCGGGTAATCCAAATACCTTACTCACACCTCCCTTAACCATCTTCCATTTCAAAAACTCTACCTGTGGAGTCCAAGTGAGTGCTCCAACCCATGGCTGCACATTATAATGAACTTTCAACACTACTCCTTGTGTTGATGCGAGTTTCCCACTCGGTTGGGTGATTTGGTATTTAGCTTTTTGATTTTTTAGTTTGAGGATACCTCTGAGGGATTGTAAGTTAGTATATTATACCTATGAACAGTCTTGGGAGATAACAAAGGAAGAAAGAGTGACAAAATGGAGAAACCAACCTCGAAGGATCAATACTCTTTCCTTTAGAACTCTTAACCAATTTCTTCATTGCAGCCGGCCCAATATTCTGCAAATGATCTGCGCTCGGATTCGTAATAATTGTATCCCAAATAACAGCCTCATTATCTAAAATTGTCGGTTCTGAAGAATTGGAAGGCCATGATGCGGATACGTAGACGAATAATTGTTTGGTATTCCAATTGAAGAGGGAGGAGAAATCTGCGTCAAGGGAGAAACGAATATGTGCGTATTCTTCTTTTTTTGTAGAGTAATAGTGTGGACGTCCTTTTACACTGGGGGCGAGAGTGTTAGTCGGAGTTGGATGGGTATCTAGAAGGGAATGTGAAAGGATGAAAGGAATTTGTAAACGGAAGACATACACTTGAATATCCTTAACATCAACTCTAGCGCTAGGTGTCCTTGGTGAAATGAGATCTGTACATGCGATCAAAGCCGCGACGACAAATGCCACTGTTGTGAAAAATCCAAAGACATTTTGAATGCGCACCACCGAGGAATGCATGATTGTTCCTTTTGTTCTACTTGCTTTGCGTCCAATTGGAAGGTATTGTATATGCGACCCGGTCTCTTAACTCATGCACTGTTGTTGTTGTCGTTAAAGTCCTGCTTATTATGGTCAAATTTCCGTCAATTGGAGACGAATTGATAACTGGAGATATTATCACAATCTGGACTTTCGGATTTAACACGTCTCAATCTGAAAGCTTCATGATTGATCTAAATTAGCGTATTGTGGGGTAAGACGTGGCTGAAGCTTGGAATCACAGGATGTGGCGGTGCAATTGGGATTGATGGAGATATGTTATTTGTATGATAGACATGTTAGAATTAGACATGTCAGATAGGAAGTGAAGCTGAAGATATATGAAGAAAAATTTGTATATAAAGTATCTCTTGTCGGGAAATTTATGTATCGCTCCATAAACCACAGGAAAAGGAACACAAATTGGTATCGCCAACCCAGCCCATCCTTTCCATAGCTCTCAAAAATCAAACTGGTATCCCATAGAATTATTCGTCATTTTAACCAAATCTCTTCTGATCCTCTCCCAACAGATCTTCTGATTCCTACTCCATTGTTTTCCCACTATTATTACCCAAGTATTCCATATAGCGAAAGATCATATCATTTCAATCCTCCATCTCGAACTCCCGACCGATTTATACCGTCGTTTCATGGACTACAAAACAAGAGAAACTCAGACATGACCCAGCTAATTCGCAGGTTCAACGATCGTACCGTAACCTCCACCTTGTACTCTATCGGAATAGATCCCCGGTGCTCGAGCAGCTTGGAATCTACCTTCTCTGCCTGCTTCCCGTCGTTCATAGTAGACGTATTCGATGTAGAATGCATGGATATGTCCTGGTATGTACCTGTTCGTGTGTTAATATGTAGTTTCCCGACGAAAGGGAGGAGAGAGGATATGTACCCAAGTAGCGTTAAACAGATATTAATTAAAAGATCGGGTCCGCATCCTGCAACTGCGAAAACACCAATGGGTGGTGCTAAGATAGTGATGAAGATCAAAAGAACTTATCAGTCTGTCAGTGTTCATTCAGCATTGTTGGATAGGAAGTGCGCAAACTTACTCAATGAAGCTACACCCATATTTGCGTATTTATGATATGAATAATTCCGATTCGACTGCCAGCAATTAAAGATATTCTCAATAATAGAGTGTATTATCCCAAAGACTCCAAGGTAGATGGATGTTGGATGTTTGAAGTAAAATGTCTTGGAAGAGGGGTAAGGTTACGCATTTACATTTAAAAAGATGGGAAAGCTGGAGAATGGATCTTGGAATTGCCTCGCTCGCTTAGAAATGTCAGTGACGTATGTTAGTCAGTGAACGACCCAATATCAGGAATCAGGTACAGAGTAAGTGATTTTCTTTTAATACTCGAGTGTTAATTATATTTCCCCTGTTTTCATAATTACTTTTTAGACGCAAAACCAAAATTATCTTATGCGATATTGCGTGTGCCTTGATATTTTGCGTTTGATCTGCTTCGTGCTTGATACAAAGTGATTCGTTATGATATATGAGATAAGACGTGTGCCATTTCTACCTCGCAATTTGTGTGGGGATGTTTCATACCATGAGTCAGATTTGATTGTATTTGTTCGTGAGAAATGTTGGTTGTTCCAACAGGACAAGCCACTTATGTACTCCGTATGTCTGCGCCCCGTCATGAAGAATATTCGATGCAGGGGCAAAGATCATCGCACGTGCTCCCATATTTTCCTGTACATGTATTTCGCTCTGCACAACCAATCATGAGACCCTAAATTTCCGATTGTCCTGTATTGAGGTCTAGAAGGTTCATAAATCATCCTGACCCGGGCTAGTACTCAGATTTATTGACAGGGCAGAAAATCTGGCTTGTCAATGGAGTCAACTTTTCCTCTTAGTAGAAGATTGGATGAATCTTTCCGTTTGCTCGATCTAAAAGTCTGATGGGCAGCAATTCCTCATATCTTTCTCGCATTAGCTAACACCACGAATGCCAGAAGATGGTATCACTTACACATGCTTCAACCATTCACAAACAACCTGTCTTGTAACAGCAGGATCTATGATCTCTTCAACCCCAAACGCATTTGCTGTTCTGACTGGATTCATCAATCGAGTATATTCTTCTTCCAACTCTTTATATCTTTCCTCCCGATTTCCATTGGCTTCCGCTGCTTTCAACTCTGCAGCATGTCCAACTTCAATACCTCCATCTAATGGAAGACTTCCCCATTCCCCACTTGGCCACGCCACGCGAAAACGAGGATCTCTACAATCAAGCATTATCCCACCAGCTACACCATATGCTTTTCTCGTCACAACGCTGAAAACCGGCGTCGTCGTAGAATAATATGTCGTCCCAAGTGCTACACCATGTCTCATGGTCGCTGTTCTTTCTGCTATCGTTCCAATTGCATAACCTGGGATGTCCACAAATTGCAATATAGGAATATTAAAAATATCGCAGAATTTTAGATGTCGTGTGATCTTTTGGCTTCCAGCAGCATCAAGTGCTCCGGCATTTACCTCAGAATTTAATGATATAATTCCAATAGGCCGACCAGAAAGTCTGGCAAGTCCAACAATTGCAGTGGTTCCCCAAAGTGCTCCAATTTCGAACCAACTTTCTTTGTCAACTACAGTCGTTATGATCTTTCGAGGATCGTACATTCTTGCCTTTCGCCGTGGAATAATTGTCCGTAGCTCTCCACAAAGTCGGTCGGCCGGATCTTCAGTGCTTACAGTAGGTGGTAGAGAAGCCCCAGAGTTTGGCAAATAACTCAAAATAGTGCGCAATTGTTCAAAACATTTTTGCTCATTTGCTGCCATGTTATCAATTGTGCCATTTGTACAGTGCATACTGGGTCCACCGAGCTCCGTAAATGTAAGTCCTTCCTCAAATGTTGCCCCTATTATTACTTAGCATCGTTTTCTCCCAGATACAATTAACTCACCAGCAACAACCTTCGGTCCAGCATTAAACAATGCTCCAACATCCGCAGCCATAACCGAAAAGTGACACGAAACAACTCTAGCAGCTCCAAGTCCTATAGCTGGTCCTAACACAGCTCCTAGGTTTGGAATTCCCATATTCAACTGCTGAACCACATGATTAAAAGATGGCATAGGCGGTATGTATGAATACCCATCTTTGCGAATAGTCGTAACCGAACCCCCTCCTGAAGAACCATCTACCAATTTGATGATTGGTAGCCTCAATGCAACAGCTAACTTCTCCATATAAATCGTCTTTTCCATCAACGCACCATCCGCATGACCAGCGCGGATACTAAAATCATCTGCTGTAAATAGTACTTTCCTTCCCCTCAACATTCCAAAACCTTGCACATTATTACTCGGTATATAGGATACGGGCTCCTCTTTCTTTGCTTTTCCTTCATTTGCATCTAATTTCTTCCATAGAACAGTTCCAGAAACAGAACCTACTTCTCGAAAACTATCTTTATCAAGTAGTTGAAGAACACGTTCCCGGACCCAGAGTTTCCCGGCTTGCTTTTGACGAATATAACCTTTATTGGTGAGATCAGGTGTATTGGCTATTTGTTGTAGTGAGGAGATTGTTCCGAGAATATCTGAATAATCGGCTGGGAGGTCGTTTTTTGTTTTAGGACCTCGACGTTTTGGCGATGTATTGGAAATGTGACCGGCGACTTGGGATATTCGATCTGAAGCAGTTTTTAAACAGCTTCTTTCTTCACTGTCATTTGCCATGATGAATGAAGTTTACTTGGTTTTCGAATATCATCTTCAAGACTCAATTGTCTGTTCAAACTTTTGAAAGGAGTGGAGATAGAGCTCCAACAAGATCTTCAGGGTTTGGACCTCGGCTCACCCTACCCCACGTTTTGTGGGGTAGCTTGATCAAGTCTCGGAGCTCTACCACATTTCAAACATTGCAAGAAGCTTCCTAATGACATGAGATTGCGAGCCAATGTAGTATGTCTGTATAGGTATTCGAATAAAGTATATCTTAACTTACTTTTTGATAAATACCATACAATAAGTATAAAATGTCACAACCACCCTACAGGCCAATCAAGCGTCTTCTTATAGCAAATAGGTGCGTACTCAGTATTAGCTTCTCTTTTACCACGTCCATCTCTTCCCAAGCTTACTTTCAAAAGGGGAGAAATAGCAACGCGTATAATATCCACAGCCCGAGAACTAGACATAGAAACCTACTCTCTTTACACCGAAAATGACTCCTCTCATACTCTACACTTAACTCATTCCATCAAACTTCCCTCTCCATCATCATATCTGGATATCTCAGCTCTAATATCCATTGTCCAAAAACATGATATCGACACTATTCATCCCGGCTACGGATTCCTCTCCGAATCACCCGAATTTGCGGAGAGAATGTGGAAAGAGGCTAATGCGATTGTCATTGGACCTGGGCCTGAAATTTTAGAGAGAACAGGTGATAAATTAATGGCAAGACAACTTGCAGATGAATGTCACGTTCCTACTCTCCCTGCTCTCCAAACTCCTACGAATGATATTTCTCAGCTTCAACATTTTGCATCTTCGGTTGGTTACCCTATTATTATCAAAGCGGTAGATGGAGGTGGCGGTCGTGGGATCAGGATTGTGATCCAAGAAGCCGAGTTGGAGGATATGCTCAAAGCAGCATTGAGAGAAAGTCCAAGCAAGAAAGTTTTTGCGGAAAAAGCTGCGATTGATGAGTATAGACATGTGGAAGTACAGATTATTGGGGATGGAAAGGGAGGTGTTAGACATCTTTGGGAGAGAGAATGCAGTATTCAGAGACGATTTCAAAAGGTTGTGGAGTTTGCGCCAAGTGCGGCGGCGGATAGAGATTCAATAGCACGGGTGGTTGAAGCAGCATTGAGGATGGCTAAACAGGTGAGATACTTGAATGGTTCAAATCAGACTAGGGATTTAAGTATTTATCATTTTTAAAGGTCAGTTACTACTCACTTGGAACCTTTGAATTTCTGGTCCGGCAATCATCCTCGGAATTCTACTTCTTGGAGATCAACCCGCGTCTACAAGTTGAACATACCATTACCGAGTCCTTAGCTCTTGGCATCGACCTCGTCAAAATTCAACTTCTCCTCGCTCAAGGTCATTCCCTTCAATCCCTCCTTCCGCGATATCTCCCAATTAGCCCCTCTACACCACCGGAAATACACTCACTCCAACTTCGCATCACAGCCGAGTCACCCTCGCAGAATTTCTCTATCAGTCCGGGAAAAATCTCATCATTTCATTTTCCATCCGGAAATGGTATTCGAGTAGATACTCATCTGCATCCATCAACTTTCGCCATCATCGGCACAGATTTTGATAGCTTACTAGCAAAACTCATTATCGCCGCACCAACCTGGCTAGATGTTATTGCGAAAGCTAAACGTGCGTTGGATGATACATCAATCATTGGTATTGAAACGAATTTGAATCTGTTAAGGGCTATTATGGCTAGTGACGATTTTAGGAGACAGAAATGCGACACGAGATGGCTGGAGAAGAATCTACCAGTGCTGCTTGAGTCATCAAGGAAGATGGGCGATAACTTGAAGAATAAGGTATCATCGATATCTTCAAGTCAGGCACCGGCTCTGCCTCTATCATCAAATGTTCTCTTTCGTCCGAGAGATGCATGGGATATTTCTCTCACTCCAGAAAATTCGAAAGATGGCTCTGGGAATACGTCACATACACCATATCATCTCCAAATAACCCGAATTCTGACCAACAATTTTCCCTCTTTACTCAAAGCCAACATCCTCTTTACTTCCCGCTCATCCAGTACCTCATCCTCAAAACCAACGCCTTACACTCTCTCGCTTACCTCCTCCACCTCGTCTTCCTCCCAACAATCCTCAAAAAGTCATCGTCTTGGCAATCTTTCAAATCAAAATCATATAATCGCTCCTTTTCCAGGTAAACTCATTGAAATCTATGTAGAAATAGGTGATAAAATATTAGCCGGACAAGCCATTTGTGTGATTAGACAGATGAAAATGGAAGTTGAGATTCGTAGTAAAAAAGGGGGGATTGTCACGTGGGTTCTTGGGGATGAGGAAGAGGAGGAGGAATGGGAGGTGGGGTTAGATGTCAGGGAGGGAGTTCTTATTTGTGAGTTGGAGGATGGGGATGGAAATGGAAATGCGAGAGATAGTAAACTTTAGATGGATGCTATGATACGGGGTAAGAGATATTGAGAAGTGTTAGTTGGGTTGAAAGTTGAATTAGAATTAGAATGATGCTAGATCGTAGTAAGATGTTAGTATTTTGTTAATATTTTATTGGGGGAAGGCTAGCAAATTCAAATGCCGCCGTAAACTAACCGAGACGGCGCTAATTAGGATTTAGTGTTTGAGTTGATTGGGAAGGAGCACACCGGACTGATGTTAGCACCTCATCTGTAAATTATTATAGATATAATTCACTCAATATCCCTACAATCTGATTCACACACAGCAAAATAAGTTTTAACAACACATCTAGAGAGCTTCGGACCCAAGGTTACGGCTATAAATACTCGCATTCTCTCCTGCAATATAACTTCAAAGACTTTACACCTACATTCCACGGACGAAGAAAAATATCCACAACAGTCTCTTTCATGAATCTGAAAATGTCTTCTTCTCACAGTAGACTTAATCCCGAAGAATTTAAAGTCCTAGAGGAAGAACACATTATAAGGGCTTCTGTTAATAGTAATGGCAAAATAAAAGTTTCAACCGGACTATTGAGTAAGAGATCTAATTATTTTCTGGAAATATCCCCCAGCTATCGTTCTACATTCCAGTTACTGGGATTGTGATTTCTAGGGCCAAAAGCCAGTGGTGATATCACTACATCCTCAAATTCCGCATCGGGAGCGTCTGTCCAAGTCCAATATAAAGACCAATCAAGCATCAGGGACTTTGAGCTTCCAGAGAATCTCGAAAGTGTAACACTCCTTGAGTTTCTAGGATACACAAGAATGAAAGCTGAAGAGATCTTCATGAAATGGACTACACGACCAGACCCAGATTCGAATCCTCATTCCCTCAAAAAGTAAGTAATTCTCGAGTTTATCTTCTTACCTGAATGTTTCATTACACCATTATTACTTATATCACAAAAAGCTATTCTTCTACTCAATTACTTGAACGAGCTAACCCAAATAATTACTTGTAGCTACGCCATGACCGAGCTCAACAACTTCGAGCCAGCCCCTATACAAGAATCTCTCCATCAATCAGCGGAAGCAATGAGACGTTTCGGAATATCACAAGAATTGATAGAGAGAATGATAGCACGGGAGCATCAAGATCTATTTGTGGGGCAGACCCTCTGTTTTTGGTTGGAGATTGCAATGCGCTCTAGATATGGTACTGCACATTATTACTTGGAAAACTTGAAAAATAGAGCTATTGAAATATTGCACGCGAAGGAGAAGATGTGTGGGAAGATCGAGGGGGACTTTCAGCCGGCTAGCACCTTCGAGATGGTGTTACGAGGTTTGCCGTATAGATCACGTGAAAATGCTCTAGGCTCTCGAGGTGGTTTATAACTAGGTGTTAAGCAAGGACTTAAATAATGACAATGATGCAATTCGTAACTAATAGTAGAGTATACTAAATGATTGATCTTGAGCACGAAGCTCTATACAAAGGAAATCCATCTTGATTATATAGACCTTCGTGCCTCGTTAAAAACCGATGGCTACAAACCCGACAATTCGATCACCGCAAAACCGATCTCGATTTGTCGGTTTCTTGATCATATGATCAAGAACGTGACCTATATTACTGTCCGACGTAACATACGTTTCGAGTATATAATTCGCTATATCTTCCATATCATTTATTCGAGGACTAAACCCTCTCTTATTTATATCAAGTATATATTGAATAAATACTTCCTCTTCCAAATCAGTCAAATTATGGCTTTTTGATCGAAATTCTGTATAAGGGATTTGTGACGGAAAAGTCGTAAACGGAGTCAATTCAATTACTTAGAATCTAAAACTAAAGAACTAAGAAGATTCTAAGTAAGAAGGTCTTTATATACAGGGCTAGTGCACGTGAGCCACTAGTGGGATAACAACCGTCACGTAACAGGATTAAACCATTCATTCTGCGGATAAGTGTTGTATACGATATATTATATAGCTTTGCAATCTTCCGAATGCTTAATTTTTTATCTTTTCGAATAGCTTCGATAGCTAAGAGTATTTGAGCTTCTTCATTATTCGATTGCATTATACATTGTTGATAAATCGCATATTGAAGTGGAAAGATAATAATTGAGGTAAAAGTGGTGCACATGCTGATATGGTGCACATACTGATAAACCACGTTAACCTAAAAGCTATGCCTAGGTACATACTATAGCTAGTGACACGTCGCGCCACCCCCCGATCATAAAAGATTATTTAAATCTTCTTCCTCATCCAAATCATTTGATCACCTATCATGATGAATTTCTAAAGAGTCATATCCTCTTTTAAAAAAAGCGTCTCGGAAAGATCATGTCAGAGTAAAGACTCATAGGGTTGGTAGGTCATGATCAGCTGCTCATGAAAATACACATGACTCTGGCTGCTGAACATCACTGCCTCCAGTGTCGCAGATGTAGAAATAAATGTTATATAAAGGCGTAATCATAGCCATAAGAAGTGGGAATATTTTTATCGCAAAGTTTTACTGTTGCTAGAATGTACTACTGCTGCCTGCATTAATTATAATCTTATATCTTACAGAGTGCATTTGTCTTTTTTTTATACTATTTCATTTTACATCCTTCAAATTGGTGGTTGAAACAATATAGTATCCGATTGTGTTCGGAACGCTGCAGAATGCCTCACTATCAAAGAAAATCAACGTTGTCGAGAGAATCATCGTCTAGCTCTTCCCAATCTTCACGCTCATCACCAAACCGAAGACATTCGCATGAAGCGTCACGTACCTCTGGATCAAGTCGACACCATACACGAGAACGGGAAGGAAGACATAGAGATAACATTAAAGAGGGTTCTTCTGGTGCGGGAGACGGCGTCGGCGTCGGGAAACGCATCTACAAAACAGTTGAAAAACTCGAGAATCCAGTGAAGAAACTCGGCAAGTTTGTTCTCTGGGGTGCTCCGTTAATTCTTGCGGGATTGGAAGTACGACATGAATGGCACCATCATGCGCATAAGAGAAGGATGATGGATAAGGAGTATGAGAAGGCGCATTTGGAGATACAGTTACAGAGGGGTATAGATGGGAAGAAAGAGGGTATCACGATTGAAGGGACAAAAAGTCATGGACCGACAAGGGAAAAGGAAGAAACTTCTGAGCCTATGTCTGATGAAGTACATATCCTTCCTTATCCAGCGCAAGTCTATCATCGAGTCGGTCGTCCAAGTCAGCATCCTTCATGGCGAGATACTGAAGCGTGCCATCATTACTTATTACCTCCTCACGTTCCTGAAGTTCCATGTCTAGATATGTGTGAGGATAGACAATCGAGAATACAAGTGAAACGACCGGGGTCGAGAGATGTGCTTTTCCCGCGTATTCGCTCAACCTCCGAATCCGTTTACGAATATAGACGGTGGTGAAATTGTTACGGGCTAATCTTTTCGATTTTCTAATCAAGATTTTTATTTGAGACATTTGATGTGTTTATTTAGACTTAATAGAGCTACTTCAATTGTACTTATTAATTACTGTCTTTGCTGTTTAGTGACTTAGTTTACTCTACTATTGTTTTCGGAGCTCATGTCACAGGAAGGGCACTAATTAGTAGTTGGATTTATCTAATTTTTGAGTTATATAATTGAGTTAAAGGTAGCAAGATGAATTAAGTGCATCAAATCTAAAACTTCAATGGCCTACCTGCATAAACTCGCAAAAATCTGTAGTGTATAAGTAGGCTCAAGGACCTACTGCAGTTCGCGTACTTTATCAATTCTTAAGATTGAGAAGCACACACAACCAGCGTATGTAACGAAATCCATCATCCTGCATTTCCTAGCTCACAAAACTCACTACTGATTATTTCCCTCATAGTGAGAACTAGTGATGCATCTGCCTTTGCTATGAAGACACTTAGGGAAATTATATAAGATAAGATATAGAATGAGGGATTGGAAAGCTAAAGAAGAGAAGCTTCTGCATGGGGATCCTTTATGTAGGAAGTCCAAAATACTGCGCCTAGAAGAAGGATTGAAATGACACTTACGATATTACGCGAGCTTGCAGGTGATGGGTCGAGTAGAAGTATTTCGCATGATGTGGATTCTTGAATATTGTCAATGGAAGGTTTGGTATAGGACGTGACTCTAGGACTTTTGGCATCCAAAAGGAGTGGTGTACATTCATCAACCATTGACTTCTGAGTCATTTCCTTGGTGACAATTGACATGCTTAAAGAGTAAGATTTCCTTGAAGCAATGACGATGCTAAAGGGAAAATGGTGCAAATCTTTAATATATGGAGAGAGAAGCAACGTGAGATATAAAGTACACATCATCCTTCAATCCTTAATGTGCGAAATTGTGAAATGCAAATTTATCCTTTAAAGAGAATGTCCAAAGACCTGCGTTCACCTCCCGAGCGAGGTGGCTTTCCCTCTATCTGTGGTGCCGTCTATGGTTGATGGTGCATAGACCATGAAAGGCAACGGACCTTGTCATCTTGAATTGTTCGATCGCCGGCAAATTTTCGTACTTAATAGCAAAAGGGGACTAAATGCGGTGGTTGAGTGCCTATCTATGACTTCACCTACACCCATTGGAAAATTCATTGTGCAAAAACCGCCTATGATCATGCCTGGCAGGTGCTAACTATAAGACTCGCAGAGTGTTAACTCTTATCTAGGACATGGGTCTTCATCACTTGCATGAAACAATGCCAGCAAAAAGAATGAGTGGGAAACCGGAATACTAGCCGGTTAAAGCTTGCTCATAGTGCCTTCTCCAAGACTTTGATCCTCGTGGGGTGTCTGGCATGGTTATTTTGTGACCCAAAGTAGCGTTCTGCGGATCAACATAAGAACGAGTATAGCATAATGAATCGGTAATAAAGCCACTAGAAATCGGTAAGAGACTCGACGGATAGGAAAACAAATAGAATTCAACTGGAATTGAATGAGAGAAAAGTAGACGTCTAAGATAGTCCTTACGTTGATTGTCTTAGAGTGCCGCTCATTAAAGGCGGCATAATTCAAATATATGGGTGTAAACATATAGAGAAAAGAAAGACTTCATGGCTTTAACAGCGGGAGGTTGAAGTTCGAGATTCGGAACGTATAGCATCTGTGGGGGTGGATATGGGCAAAAATCCGAGCCTAATGCATGCAACCTTTGGAAATCAAAGACAACCAGAAAATCCCGTGGATTTGCTCGTAGTATTCAAGGGGAAACACTCTATCGTTTGATAGTTGCCCTAGTCGTTTCGGAGCTGAAAAAAGAGAAAGTAAAGAACATCGAAAAATTAAAAGCTTTCTTATTTGTGCATTCTTTAAATTCAATGTTGTTCCCGGGAACTCTCTCTTCCAAAGCCATCCAAAAACTCCAGATTTAGCCCCTCTTTGTGTGATCCTCACGCAACGCCGATCCATGCAAAAAAAGAAAGTCTGTGAACTCAATCCCTCAACCATGCTCTTCGTTTCTCTTCCTTTTTTTGTTTCCTCTTCTCCTTGAATTGCTTTAGTTCCGCCTTTGACAATTTCTTGCCGCTGCGTTCTTCCTTCAGACTTCGACCATCGTGATTATTTGCCGCGGCATCGACATCAAAGTAAGCGCTCATTTGTCTTTTACTCTTATTCTCGTCATTGAAGTTCTCTGGATTGAGTTCTGCCGCTTGCCAACGTCCTGTAAATCGATTAAATTGGCCAGTTGCCGCATAAGCAGCGGCTGGATCTAATCTCATAGCTGCTGGCTCTTCGACTGCTGATTGGGCATACCAGGCATTTGGATCATAATCTCCGTGAATCGCAGGATCATAACCACCGGCTGGACGAGAAATTGGATCGCTTTCTGTAGGCGCAACAGCAGAGTCTGTTGATGGAACACCTGGGGGACCAGGCTGGGCAGCCTCAGGAACACGTGGATTATCCCACTGCGTAGCTCCAGTAAACCGATTGTAGAAGTAGAAAGCTTGATTTGTCTCATCCCAAACTGGTGCCCATCCATCATCTTCTTGTGTAGCAGCTGGAGGTTGTTCATTTGGAAGAGGCGGAAGAGGTTCTTCTGGTAATGGCGGACCGTCTGCGGCAGTAGTATTTTCGGACAAAGCACTCTCCGTATTTTGGTTCTCAATCAAATTCGTATCATTACCGGAAGTGACAACTTCCCCTTCCTCAGTCGTCAGCGGGTCTTTGGATGTCGCATTGTTTTCCTGTTTGTCAGAACCTATAGGCTCCCCATCAACCTTCACATTCTTCACTTCTGCTTCATCGTTGTTTGGTGAGTCTTCCTTCCTAGGAGGGTTTTGAACGTTGGTATTCGTCAAGCTCGGCGCCTCAGTATCTATGGTACCTGAATCTGGGGTAGACATATTGCACTAAATCTATTATGCATCAGAAAGAGCTTTTGACAAATATTATGGGATGGCCTGCTACAGAAGATAGTTTCGTAGTAATAAGTTAGATTGGGTAGTTATGGAATGTTGTTGATTTAATTGATGTCGCAAAGTTGAGGATTCAAGAGTTTAAATGTTGCTCACTTTCGGAAACCTGCGAAGTAATGCGCGCTAGAGCAGCAAAGTTGCCTCAGGCTTTGACATAAGACTTTCAGCATCGGCACGTGGTTGCACGAACTGCTAGACGAATTTATTTACAACCGACTTGGAGATTAGTAGGAGATGGGCATGAAAATAGCTAAAGCTGGCCTCAAAAAATCGAGTTCCTGGTGCAGGTATCATGAGCAACTGCCTATCAACTTTTAGAGATGTTACATAATTATTTGTTGGTCTATAATTAGCTGAGTATTGTTTTGTAGTACAATAATGTTACATCATTGCTAATTATACGCTATTTCTCAACGTATTATGATATCTTCCGCGGATCTAATGACTTCTCTTGCCCTCTCAATATCTCGTTCAATAGCGGGGTCTAGACCTTTGCCCTTCTCTGCCTTGTTCAAGTTTTCACCAACAATCGTTTCGACGTTTCTCACGGCTTTCCTGCCTTTCTCTCTGACCTCCCCTTCCCAGTATGCCCTTGCAGTTTCCCATTTCTTCTGCATTCGCCTCATACTCCATACTATCCCAAAGGCGGCTACAGCCCCCGCTTCATATATCGTGGTGGACATATTACTCACATACATGAGACCGGCAAGGGCTGACGTCATGGATGAAGTACTAAGAGTTTGGAGAACAAGCCTTTGTGCCAAGGCTTGGAGAGCAGGAATAGTAGTTGTAGATAAGAATGTCCTAGCGATTGGAATGTGTAGAGGCCAAGGCTGAGGTATTATCTTCCTCGATGTATCTTCGTCCGCTGCGATAGGAATAACATCTCGAAGTTTTGGTGGAGGAGGTACTCCTTCCGGAAGAGTCTCTTGAACTGGCGTGTAAGCCCAATCAGACTTCTGTATAGAGTCGGAAGGAAGGGGTATGTTTCGATATACACCGGCTTCCTCCGTCCGCCCGGCTAGAAATATGATTTCTTTCTCGGCTTCGGTCAAAAAGCTTCGGCCCAACATATCAGATGTGATCATAGAAACATCATCGACACGCCAAAACAATTTCCACCATCCCAGCTTACGCCATCTCTGACCTCCAAACGCAATGTCTAGTTGATCTCGGAGCTCAGTATGTGCGCGTTCAGACCACGTAGAAAGCGCATGACGGAGTGATGATATTTGGGTAGGCGGTATCTTGGTAGATGAAAAAAGGGACAATTGCCTGGCCTTTTCCGCTTCCAATTCTTTTTCCGCGTTTTGTATGATAGATGAGATTAGTCTGAGAAGAGGTTCTTTAATAGTATCATGATTAGAGGATGCACCTAACTTCATCCAATCGATAACTTCGGGAATACCGCTCGACAACCACTGGTGCTCGTAGGTCATCGCGTTTTCAATGCTCTCACGGAAAGTATGTAGAGCTTCACTTCCGGATTCAATATCAATAGACGGTATAGGAAGGGATTGTGATTCCGCAGTTCGAAAATTAACAGCACTTCCAATAATTTCCCGGTTTGCACCTAGGGGGTACGAAAGGAAAGAAGCTGCTCCCATAATTCCATGCCCAAGAAGAAATGATTTATGTACGGGTGTTGTAACCGGAGTGTAGCGACCCGTACTGGAGGTTGGTATCTCCATTGTCGGTACCAAAACCGCTTCCTCGAAAAGTCCTTGTTCAACGTGTGTTGGAGGGTCTATTTCTAGGACCAAAATCTCCATTTTATGTCCGCTGAACAATGGAGACGATATGTTCATTTCGTGTACCAACCTGCCATTCCGCTCCGAGCTTTCATCCCCATTATGTCCAACCCTTATCAATAATGGCCGGCCCATGCCATCGCCGCGCATTATACCCCGCTCCCATTCCTCCTCTGCCTTCAGAGGATCAGCTAAAATGAGCCTCAGGAGCTCTTTGGCTTTTTTAAGTGAGGTCCCTCCATCTGCCAGTCCTAATATTGCAACTCTTATTGTTTCTTGACCCTCTGGTTGCTCTAGGCCCCTCAATGCAAGTTGTAACCTGGAAATATTGACATAGTTTGTGGCGTATTTTTGTACCTCAAGTAATGCTTCCCGAAGCGCATTGCGGTCTATTTTGGAGATTTTTCGAATTTCATCATTATGTAAAGCTTGTATCGGAGCAGATGATGATTGCCGGACTTGTGATCGAGGACCAGGTAAAAGTTTGCTTTGACGAGGTTGACTTCGAGACCTCTTGGAATATTGGGATAGAGAGCATATCGGACATATATGCGGTTTTTCGAGATTACTCGGCGTTCCAAGAGGTTTTACCCATCCAGCTCTCGCCCTGGGTATTCGTGGAGGCATTATGGTCGAAGGAGGAAAACAAAGTATCAAGATTCATGGGCATCTTAATCTTTGAGATCGCGATTGCGAGCCTTATAACTAAGGCCACAAATTAAGCGTTTCAACAGTAGCAGCTCTAGTTACGTCACAGATGAGAGGAAACAAATGTATATTTTCTGATAAATTAGATATTTCAGTCTCTTGAAGTCCTGTCAAGATCATGATTTATTTAAAGCCATTCCACCGAACGCTCTATCGAGCTCGTCACCTTCTTGATTTGGTACCGCCACAGGTGTTTGTGCTAGACGTGAAGCATCATTACTTGACACATCAACATCCATGAGGTTTCCACCTCCCGCGGCCGTCTTCTTCTCTGGCTCTAAGATTCGCGCATCGCTATCCAGCCATCCAGGGGCTACTCTACGCTTTTCTGCCAATTCTCTTGCAGCTATCGCATCTTCCCATGCCTTCAACTCCCTGTCAGCATCGTCTTGTGCTTTCTGTATGTAAGCTTGTAGTGCTTTGCAAGACGCAATTATTTCATCTGGGTGTGCTGCATGACCCGAAGATGATACGACATATTTGGGCTTGCCGTCGCTAGATGAGGCTGAAGCTGTTGTGGATGACGACGGTAAGGTCGAAGGTAGAGTCTTGTATGTGTATGGAAGAGTAGTTGCAGTAGGCAAAGAAACGAACGGTGAGACTGTCAGCGGCACCTGTGCTAACAGAGGATGGGTACCTAAGTATTGTTAATTGTTTAACTTACTCTATCGGTGAAGTTTGTACATAGGGGCACTCAACGGTTGTCATTCATGATTAAATGGAGCTGTGAAAAAGAGCTATGACCAGTAATTTCCTATCAATTGCCTTTCGATTGTCCGAAGTAATGGTAGATAGATTAAATTAGATTTACCAAGCCATTTGTGCTTATCTTTTCCGAGGGAAGAAATTGAAATGTGTTCTCGAAGGTCGTCTTTAGTGTTGAAGAGCGTTCTTGATAATACCCCTACCTCGAGGACTTTTGACTTCGGAAATGAATTTGTTTGGAAGATTGGTTGCTGTATAAGATAGCAGTACTCCTGTTCCCCAACTGTACGGAGTAGATGTAGTGATTACCATATGATGGAGATATTCTTATTAATGTGTTCTTGAGATTCAATGTCTCTTGATGACTTCTTCTGATGACTGTTAACAATCAAACGATCAAAATCTCTCGTGCAAATGCAATAATACCAGTCTGGATATGACCATTCGAGGGGAAAGATGATGTTCTGTTTATAACCTACCAAACCTTGATCCGTTCTCGTAATGACACTCCGTAAGTTTAAACAGTTGAGTTGGTGTGGATTCATGGGACCGGTGAATGGGTTGGGTTCAAAGGTGGTCGAGGCTTAAAAATCCCCACACCCAAATCGATTTTGCTTAGGTTGGTGAATGAATGGAGCCCGTTGGACCAGACCAAGTAAACTTTACCAAATTCTAGGAGGTTACCTTGTGTGTACTAGGTATAGTATCCTTGGACTTGCCGCCTCTCAAATTTCACTCTCCAGCTTTAACCTTCCCGAAACACAACAACCTGAACCCTTTTAAAACTTATCTGATTGTCAGCCTTGTTGACAGCTGCAACTACCACTGCAACTGCCACTGCATCTGCAACCACAAACGACAGCGACCTCAATATTCTCCATCCTATATTTTAGACTTCAATAGAACTTCTTCGGAGTCTTTGTTTGGATCTACTCAAATCCGCTCAGGAGCTGATACAACTACTAATTTCACGAGGTTAAATTTGTACCTGCTTACCTACTTTATAAGGGTCCATTTCGCCAGTGCTGCAATACACTCTCCTTTCCCTCAACCTCTTTTTGCCATCCGATTTCCTATTCTGATTGCGAAAATTCAGCTACGACTGATCCTTTTGTGACATTAAGGTCACCAACAAATAAAATATTCCATCATTCTTTACACCGTTCGCCATTATGGACGGCGAGGACCAGCTTAAAACCCCGCTGACCCCACTTGCGCCAGCGGGCATCGAGAACAGAATGCAAGTCGATAATGCTTTGCGGGCAATTCACCAGAAGAAACCTGTGCCAGAGATCGACTTTACTCTGCATACTATGGAAGATGGAAGTCAAGTGAGCACAATGGAAAGAGTTTGCAAAGGTATGGTTCAATCTAAGATGCGCTGCCGCCGGTGAACGATGCTGATTATATATGTTTGCAGATGTACAAGCACCTGCTATGGTTCCACCGACAGACCAACAGTTCTTCTCACCACAAGATCCTTCCAAGCCAAATTTACAATTCTTGAAGCAACATTTCTACAGAGAAGGTCGCTTGACCGAGGAACAAGCTCTGTTCATCCTTGAGGAAGGTACAAAAGTATTGAAGCAGGAGCCTAACCTTCTGGAAATGGATGCGCCGATCACTGTGTGTGGTGATGTTCACGGCCAGTATTATGACTTAATGAAACTTTTCGAAGTTGGTGGGGATCCAGCTGAGACCAGATATCTTTTCTTGGGAGATTATGTCGACAGAGGCTACTTCAGCATTGAATGTGTGTTGTATCTTTGGTCTTTGAAGATCTGGTACCCAAACACCTTGTGGTTACTTCGAGGAAACCATGAATGCAGACATTTAACAGATTACTTTACATTCAAGCTTGAATGTAAACACAAGTATTCTGAAAGAATCTATGAAGCATGTATGGATTCATTCTGTGCATTACCTTTGGCTGCGGTTATGAACAAGCAATTCTTGTGTATTCATGGAGGGTTGAGTCCCGAGCTACACACTTTGGATGATCTTAAGAGCGTATGCAAGCCCATTATACCTACTTAGAACATTATTGACTTCAAATTGGCAGATTGATCGATTCCGCGAACCTCCCACTCATGGTCTTATGTGCGACATCTTATGGGCAGATCCACTGGAAGAATTTGGGCAAGAAAAGACCTCCGAATACTTCATTCACAATCACGTCCGAGGTTGTTCATATTTCTTCTCTTACCCTGCCGCATGTAACTTTCTCGAGAAAAACAACCTCCTTTCAATTATTCGAGCACATGAGGCACAAGATGCTGGTTACCGAATGTACAGAAAGACTCGAACAACCGGATTCCCTAGCGTTATGACTATATTCTCGGCACCCAACTATCTCGATGTCTACAACAACAAAGCCGCTGTGTTGAAGTACGAGAACAATGTTATGAATATCAGACAGTTTAACTGCACTCCTCATCCTTACTGGCTACCAAATTTCATGGACGTTTTCACCTGGTCTTTACCCTTCGTGGGGGAGAAGATTACAGACATGTTACTCGCAATCCTCAGCACTTCCTCGGAAGATGAGCTTAAGGATGATCAAACTCCATCAAGCACTTCTCCAGGTCCCATATCACCACCAATTAATGCTGCAATGGATCCGGAATCTATCGAGTACAAGAGAAGGGCTATTAAGAATAAAATTCTTGCAATTGGTCGTCTTTCGCGAGTCTTCCAGGTTTTACGAGAAGAATCCGAGAGAGTAACTGAGTTAAAGACTGCAGCCGGTGGTAGACTTCCTGCTGGAACTTTGATGCTTGGAGCAGAAGGTATCAAGAGCGCCATTAGTAGTTTTGAGGATGCACGAAAGGTCGATTTGCAAAATGAGCGTCTCCCGCCCAGCCACGAAGAGGTCACGAGGCAAACTGAGGAAGGACGGGAGCAAGCATTGGAGAGAGCAAAGAGGGAGGCTGATAATGATAAGGGGTTACAAATGCTCTCCAGAAGGCTTAGCACGTAGGTCGAACTTGAATCCTATTCAGCTATTCTCTACTAACTGATTTTGTGGATAGTGATCGTAAGAAATAATAAGGTACAAATATACAAGGGGAAGAAAGGAATTGGGGATCACATCAGTGACACTTTGGGAAGCTACTATGATGATCGATTACGTCTTGGGATCATCTCAGCTACACTTTGGGAAGCTACCATGAGAATCGATTTAAATCATAGATACATCTTGATGAATTGCGTACAAAGACGTTTGATGAATTAATTGCACACAGCGTCGAGTTTAACACCATTGTTCACTTTTTAGCGTGTGAATCCTTCTCTTTTCCTATTCTTCCTCTCGGCGCGTGTATGTATGAATGACATTGGACAATCTCCAATTCTGTGCAAACGCGAATACCTATTGTGAGTAGCACTCCCACATCATCAGCGTACTATGCTCGAGTTTATAGTAGGTCATGTTGTAGTTTTACAATTGCATTATTTACAGATGTTTCCTTTCATCCGTCTGTATAGCAAGCAGTGCTCTACCTCAATTTCTTTGGTCGTTTCTTCTTCAAGAGGGGTGGGTGGTGGGTTGTTGTGGATTGCTATGTGCTTGCCTTTTTGGTATTACGATTTAGTATTATGAAGTAAGTAGGTGAGTAAGTAAGGCTGGTTTATATGCTATATGTTTGATTTTTTGGGGGAGGGGACTTTTGGTTTTTATTCGAATGTTGATATGGTGTAGGTGTTGATCTGGATGTGTTGGGATTAGAATTGGATGGAGTAAGTGGGTGGGTGAGATAGTGAGGCGAATATGATGAATTTATGAATGACTGGTATAGATGTATTATTTATTCATTTAATTGTTTATGGAATATATCTTGTATATTGTATATTGCATAGTATATGAATAATAAATGGTAAATGAAGTCTGATATTCAATATACAAATAGAATATATCACCGTGATTCGACAATGTATTGGAATTTACTGGATAGTTCGCAGTTAGGTACTTTGGTGAACCTGTCTTCTGAAAGATTTATTAATAGGATACAGAAAAGAAAAGAAAATAAAAGATTGGTATATTTTTTTATGTTGATGGTTTGTTAATTAGTGGTGGAGTGAGGAGGATGGCAGCGGAGGAGAATGCTGGTATAGGTGAGGGTTTGAGTAGAGGATAATGTGGAATGTTTATGTGGATATGTATTGTTTTTTTATTGTGTAGATATAGAGGGGGAGATGGAGGGGAAGATAGAGGGGGAGACGAAGATAGAAATAGAGATGGAAATGGGTATGGAGATGGGTAGTACATTGTTGCATTTCATATGGCTGGTTGTTTACAAGGAAAGATGCATGAGAATTCAAACAGTTCTTTTTCCCAAGTGATCACTGGATAGTCGACATTATGATATATGATGGATATCTAGTGAATTGATGTGATGATATGATGGCATTAGGATGGGGGAGTTTTCGCAGGTAACGGGCGACTTTATTTTCTGTAGTGATTACAATGCAAATTTTTATTCTTGATAAAGATACAGTAGCTAGATTAGAAGACAGAAAGAAGGTTTTTAGAAGAAAAGTTGCATTGTTATTGGCATTCGCTGTCGTTGTTTTGATAAAGAGTCGTAGTATTGAACCATGTGATGTCGTTGGATATCTAGATGAATGCTCATAATTTTGCCCTCCATCTTATAGAGAAATAACATCCAGGAAATACTTGGGGAGTGACTAATCATTTTCAGATACTCGTAAATACTCAATCGATTCTTGGATTTGACATCATACGATGATGATGAGTAGAAGAAAACATGTGTAGTCGACTATCTAAGAAATTCAGCCAATTTTGTGAACAGCCCTATGATGATTTAATCCCAAACATCATTGCAGTTTTTTCGGTGGAATTTAGAAACCTGCTTCCAGTCTTCGATGAAGAACCTCGGAAATCATAGAATCCATGACATCATGTATATGCATTCCCAAAGCACCCACGAACAATAAATCCTTTGCCAAAACCAGCTCTCAACTCGAGATCCGATCCGAGAATTTCGCGGGAAAATATCGGAAAAACTTGGCAAGCGAACTCCTTTTCCGCTCCTTTTCCGTATAGAAGTAGCATACATTAATCCATTATGTGAAAATCCTCATTTACAAAAGAAAAGAACCCGAGAAAAATGTTTCCTGCTGGCTTGACATGGAGCTTATCATCGCAATATATGCGAAAACCCGAGATCTTGAGAAAAATAAAAAGGTGGCCGTTCACCTCGCCTAAATCGAAGAGCTCATCGAATCCTGGTATTGCGTGCTTAACACACCTCGAACCTTCAACTTTTGCATTGTTGGTTTTGTGCTCCAGGAACTCACTTGAAGACAAGAGAGCAGATGAAAAGAAAGAGAGAAAGCATTATATATGGCTATTGGGGAGTACATTCCATGTATAATTAAGAAGTTGAGAGAAAGGCCCTGTTGGAGAAAGGGGGAAGAAGAATATTGTGATTTTTGAACTTAGCGACGTGTCGCCCAAAATGAAGAAATACTTTTACATGCATACCTAGTACATAACTACTCTTTGTGGAACCCCCACTCGCCAGGGTGAGCAGCTCGGAAAAAAATTACAGATTTGTACTGATTGATGTCTATCCACCCCTCCATCAATTGTGACACTGGTGGTTTTTCACTAAAATGCGTGGCTGTATTGATGTATTCCTATTGCATGGATGATGTTTGCAATTTATTCAGCTTGCGTATCTGGGAGCTAGTTAAGAAGTAATGATTGGAAGAGTGGCATATATCGTTGGACTCGGAACACCTCCGCAAGAAACCAAAGCTGCTAGCCGCTGTGTCTACTCCACTCATCAATTATTTTTTAAATCTGGCAAGACGCCATCGACGCATGTTACACCCAATCGGAAATTTGTTCCTCGGACTTTAAGTAGTTACATGTTGGTTAAAGTGGGCTGGTTAGAGGAGGTTCAAAAGTTCTTCGATCTCGACTTTCTTTGTCCTGTTCGAAAAGATTCAATATTTCGTAATACCTTTGTTTTGTTCGGTCCTTTTTGTTAGAAAGGGTGGTGGCTTGGTAACTGAAGTTCGCTGATTGCACGAGTATTCACGATTTTATACACAGACGGAATCGAGCCTATTTTGGCGGTTCGTGAACTTCGTCTGGACCGTTCGTTATCAATCTGGAGTTTTTGTCACTCTAGGAATTCGCCGGTGTCACGTCGCCACAATTCTGGAATGCTGAAACAAGTTACGCACATTCGCTATAGTCGTACTTGAATTTCCTCAATAGAGGAAGAGAGCAAGGCAACATATAAAAAGCTGCGGAACCGTTGATCGAATCAGTCTATCTTTTCCCATTCCCACGTTTAGAAACATACTAAATCAGGAAATCCCACGCACATTTTCGCCTCCTCCACTAGATGCTGGTCTAGGGCGGTCCTCCCGCATGCCTGGGATCCATTCACCTGCGCGTTACAACGACCACCCTCCCACGACCTGACCCTGGAACTTTCTCCACGCTATCGCATATAGATAGAGCATACTAGATATTGTCTATACGCTCTAACGCCAATAGTCATCCATAAATTAGACATATCCCACTCGTCGAAAATTGAGTTCCAGCTTTGTGCTCGGGTCAACTGACGACTTCTCGTGATAAATACCTTGAAGATTGTGTGATCTCTGCATCTCCGGTGTATTTATTTTTTGCCCTGTCACACGTAATTGGCAGGAGGATTTACAATATAAGAAGCCGCGATGACGGTCACCCAGATATATCCTTCCATCGCCCCGCTGCCGATAACAGAATCGGATCTTCTCTATCATCCGCAACATTTCGATCCTCAATCGCAAACACTTTTTCAGCAGCAGCAAGAACAACAACAACAACAACATTCATATCTAGATCCTGCCCTCGCTCAACATGATCTCAGAATATTCACTCAAGGGCTGGCGCATAATCCGAGCTATGATACCCCATTAGCGCCATATCCTGCCTCGGATAGTAGTGATGGTTCGATGGATTTTTGTGGAGGAGCGATGAATTGGATTAATGGAAGGAGTGCCAGTGAGTTTCTTTTGCTTGCGTCTTCGATATTGTGGGCGGTTCAACAGGCCTGTAAGAGATGGAAAAAAGAGCTTGTGTTCTAGAAAGAAGTGTCCGGACAATATAATGGCATTCAACAATGCCCAATATTCCTCGCAGATCATTGAAACCCATGAATTTCTAGATAATAACTTCCTTAGATATGCCCACGGATACATATCTTTATAATCAAACCTCTCCATCGGCGCCTCCGTATGCTCTAGCACTTACGTCACCCACGCAATCGCTTTCCCCACGGGAACCGAATGCAAAACGCGATGCATCAACTGCAGCCTCAGCACGATTTCGCCAGAAAAAGAAACAAAGAGAAAAGATTTTGGAGTTGAATGTTAAGCAACAACAGGAGAGAATCGGGATGATGGAATGTAGAATAAAGGAATTGGAGGGCGAGAACGGATTTTTGAAGGAACTAGTAATGGGCAGGATTAAGTGGAAAGAGGAGAAAGGGAAAGAGGAGAGTAAAAGAGATGGAAATGAGGAAGAAAAAGACAATGGGGAGACGGAGTAAATTGTATATATAGCTACTCTGCTGCTGCACATAAAGAAGAGCATAGAGAGTGAACATTGCTTGAAGTTTTGCTTGACTGTGCGGAATCGAACAGCATTTGTCTGAGGATGGGGTACATACCGCAGAACTTTGTGAGACTTTTGTCGGTGGAATAGGCAGCCTGATGAAATCTTCCTAGGCCTTCAATACGAATTTGATGTTTTTGAAAGTAGCGGTCCAATATAATGAACGGCTTACATATACTCACTCACTTGAGGCAAAACACCAAACACTATGGCAGCTTCGTTTAATTAAACGATCAAAAAAGATGCAGTCCATGGCCAATTCCATGATTGGACTCACCCAGAATATGTAGGATTCAATTGGAACTTGTTTTAGTACCTAACTTAACTGACCATGAAACTTCCACCCCTTCGGGTTAAAGTTGATCCGAGAATCGGCATTTCTCCGGCATCAACTTCAGCCTTACAGGAACAATTCGAGGAATATTTATTTTTAGGGACTTTCTGCGAAACATAATATCCACTGAGTCGAGCCAGAAGGAATAGGAATCGCAACCTTGGAGGCTTTAGATACCTCAATTTCACTCTCTCCACCAAAGACTCATTATGCCCTTGTCAACTATACACTCGGCGCCAGCTTTGGACTCATTCACACCTTTAGTAGAACACCAAACGCAAACACCAAGTACATTTTACGATGCTAGACCTATATTACATTATCACGCTCAGGGTGCGCGCGTGGTTGCTTACGGAGAATATATAAAAGAATTACCTTTTTTTGCAGACGGCCCGGCGCAAAGTACAGAAGCTGCAGCAGTAGAGATTGTCGACGCCTACATATCCACTGAGTAATTGTTCATCTACCACCACTTCATTGCGCAAAAGCTGACTTTGGTTGTTGTCTAGGAACGTTACCATATTCAATAATGCCACTTCGGCTGGACTCGCCATTCCTTATACTTCCATATCTCTACACGCCATTCAACGACTGCCTGATCCTACTGATGCTTCAAAAGGTGAGGTGACTGGGCTGTTCATGCAACTGGAGACACCCCCTCCTGCTGGAGAAGATATACCATCGATTATCGAGTTGGTTCTTATTCCCGCTGAATCGGAATCTACAAAAACCGTGTTCGAGGCTTTGTCCAACTGTTCAAATCTTGTACCAGACGAAGAGGATGAAGATATGGAAGGGGGAGGCGCCGAGATTCAATTTGAGGGCAACATTGGATACGAAGGTATCAGTGGACTACCTGGAGTACAACAAGGAGCTACAGATGGTGGATTACCCCCTCCATTTCCTGGCAGTGGTGGCTGGATTACTGCGGAAAATGTTTCGGAATATTTTGATGCGGAGGGTAATTGGATTGGGGGTGAAGATTCCAATGAAATTGAAGTACTTGGTGATGGTGCTGGAAGAGTTAGGGGGCATGATGAGATGGACGGTGATGCGGAGACAAATGGCTACAAGGAGGGAGATGAGGCTAGTAAACGCCCAAGGACCGATTGAAAAAGCCGAAAGGCAACGCATTCTATTTGCGGAAGTCCATATCGGAAACCCGGCCTGAATGATTAAGCCGTCTCATGTCTCAATCAATAACAAGTTTCCTTCACGAGAGGTTGAAGCCACAAGAAGAGGTACTCTGGATCTTTATGCTGGAGCACTAACGCTTATGAAACGAGAAAAAGCCTTGCAAACAAATACCCAATTGACTGCTTGAAGGAACTCAAGTTATCAAAAATAATATAGCACGACGATGCTATGGTGAATATAAAACAATACAACATACTTGCGTATTTGTACCTCTTCTGTGTGGTGATCAGAAATAATACCTGGCATCCCAATATACTGCATGGCTGGCGTTCCGTTTAATTCATACTGCATTCAGCGGGTCGTCAGCCTTGAGTCGGGCTCTTTATAGCCAGGGTCTTATACTACCTTCCACTTGTTATTTTTTGTCTTTGAAGTACCTTTGAACTGGAACGGCCGAATTTCGAATGACTTATGTTCTTTACTCAAGGGTCTTGCAAAACTCCGATGCATCAGGGCCTGGCAAAGCAGTATTCTTCTCTGCTTAATAAATTCAAATCTCTTTCCGTTTTCGGTTCACTCTTGAGCGGCTATATACCTTTTCTTTCTGGGAATCGCGATGATAGTCTCATTCGAGGATAGAATTTGCTACATTGCACCGTTGGTCTAAAGTCCACCAGATATTGACACAAAAACACGAAAAACAAGTTAGTTTACATGGTCACCCCCTCGACTGGCCCACGAAACCATTGACTTCTACTTGCAGCCATACCGCTTACCGTGTCCAAACTAGAATTGCCTATAATATCGAAGACAGAAATGTTGGAACGGAATTCCTTTTTAAACCAACCCCTTAAGCTGACCGCCAGAAGCGAATCAACTCCATAAACATGAATCGGTCTCGTTGTGTCAATACTATCCACAGGAATACCCAGAGCACCCGATAGCTTCTTCAACAATCCTGCTTCAACGATTCCGACAGCTTCTGGCAGGCTCTTGGCTTTAGATAGGAGCTCCGCATAGTCCAATTGCTTATTCGCAGTAGCCAAGCCAGATGGGCTACTATCTTGCGATCCGCCGATTGTGAGTGCTCTCCACAATGATCTTTTTAAGATCTGAGGAAAGTCTTTACCTTTCGTGTTGGCATATCCAGGAGTGGCAACGCCGACAACAGTTTGGCAATTCAGCTCGTTGATATTACGAGCGGGGTTACAGTAGTAATCGAGTATTCCGCATAGACTTACTTGTGAAATCGGGATCAAGAAGCCGGCCGAGTCAAGCCCTTTCTCCACATCTTTATTTTCAGCCACTGTTCCCGCAGATTCAATCCACCCAAGGTCTAGGGACACTGCCTTTTCACCTGCTGCGAGTCGAGCGCGCGCAAGCGCATCCATGAAGGTATTTCCTGCTGCATAGTTGGCTTGTCCTCCAGTACCTACAACTCCCGTTATGGAAGAGAGTAAGATGAAGAACTCCATCCCTTTTGGTAACAGCGAATGAAGATTCCAGGACCCCTGGACCCGAGGCTGTATTGTTGTGCACCATTGATCGTAACTCATTTGCTCAAACGTGGAGTCCTGAATACTGTCAGCCGGGAAAATGTTTGGACAAATCAATTAGCCTACCTGTAGGACCATAGATCCTTGAAAGCACCCTTTTATTGGCGGGAGTAGTTTCTCGCACGTCTGCAGTACCTCCAGAAGCTGTTCAAATGAACTCACATCACATTTTGGGCACTCGATGCGAACTCCTTGACTTTGCAAGTCTTTAATCAGTTCTTGAGCTGGCCCAATTCGCGGACCGGAGCGGGAGAGTAGAAGTAAATTCTTAGCCCCCCTACCAGCCATCCAACGAGCGAGACTTCTTGCAAGACCTCCGAAACCTCCAGCTATCATATAGGTCGCATTCTCATCAAATTGATAATCCGGATTCGTTGTGAGCAAAGACTGGGTTATGTTAGTGTGAACTGGAGAATATCCCAGTTATCAACACATACCTCCACGTAGTCATCTTGGGAGACCGTAATCACAGTCTGTCCCACTTGCTTCTCACTATTTAATTCTCGGAGTTCATCAACAATCTCCGAAACTGGACGAGTCTTTAAGGGAGATGCTGGTGTTACAATGTCTCCTCTAACCAGCAAAGATATTGCTTCGAGTGACCTACGAATCTGCTCGGGATGAGCCCTTGCCACAAGGGCCATATCCTGACTATGAACGGATAGTTTTCTACCTGTGATTACTTTTGAGATTCGAAGCTCATGTTGTTGCATCTGAACGAAGTGGCCGAATGGTTTGGTGCATTCTGCCGAGGCAAGTTGTCCACTATCAGGCAAAGAGTTTAATACCACATCAACTCCAGACCCTGTTATCTTGAGAATATGATCGGCAAAGCTCGTTTCTCGAGAGTCGAAAATACAATTTTCAGGTACATTATAAGCTTTCAATAACAGCATCTTCTTTTCAATTGAGTCAACGGTCACAAAAGCAACGGCCCCCATGTATTGGGCTATCTGCAGAGCCGCTTGCCCAATTGCATCCGCCGCAGAATGGATTAACACTGTTTGATTTCTGCGTAATCCAGCCAGTCCAATCATTGCATAATACGCAACCGAGAAAGGGAGCGATATTCCAGCGGCATCTGCAAAAGATTGCCCGACTGGAATCCTCGAGAACAGCCTGCTGTCGCTTCTTTTGAATGTACTGATATCCCCAGTGCCAATGCCGTACACTTCTTCACCGATTTGAAGGTCAGATTCTTCTCCAGACTTCGTCACAATACCGGCATAACCTGCGATGAAGCCAACAGAACCCATCTTCACTACTCTTTGACAATCATATGGATCCAACGCAATTGCTTTAACCTGGATCTCCACTTCTTTGAATCCGATTTGTGTTTCCTTCTCGTCTTCAATGAAAATTGAAGCTTGCAATGCGTTGCTCATATCAAGTCGAAGTGGCGGGGACTTTCCTATAGTTTGCGATACTGTATGCTGCTGTTCCGAGAACTTTTGAGCATGGGCATTCAAATAGTCAGCTGCGATGGCTCTGTTGATGACTATTTGATTGCCATTTTCGCGATACTCCAAATCCAAATCACAGACCTTTGTTGATATAACCTTCTCAAATACTCGAAAAATGTTCCTTGTGACGGTTTCTGGACTGGTGTTATTTTCAAGTGCGAGGGTGACGAATTTTTGGTCGCTATACTCCGTTCTGAGAACACGAGCAAGGCCGTCAATCATGTTGAATTTCGCTTCCGAGTCACTCTGGCAATCTTTCTTTGCCCACAGCATGCCATTGCAAGTCGTAAGTAAGGAACGCAGTGCATAAAAGGTTGATTCATCGAGGGATCCTATTAATGACGAGCCGAGCTCAGCCAAACAAATGCAAAATTTGTTGGTTAAATCATGATTTGCTAGCTCGGATAGCTGGAAGACCCCTGTCGTTCTATATCCACTTGAGCCAAGTCTGTTCACCAACTCTTTTGTAATAGCTGTATTAGCGTCTCCGTCTTCTACAACAATAACAGTCTCCGGCAGCATTGAGGTGGTAATGTCCTCAATGGCTGTAGAGACGACAACACTGCATACCTGGCTTTGAGGCTCATCGCAGTCATTGACGACTACATCTGTTCCGGAAAACCCGTTGCGACGTAGGACATTGTTCCACTCATCACTAGAAATGCAAGGACCTGAAGAGCGGTACTCGTCTGTGCTAAGCCACCATCCTGGCAATGTGCCAAAAACGAATTGAGGAGCCCAAGAGTTCCCGGTGATCTCGATTAGTACAAGTTTTCCATTTTTCTTTAGTAACTTGCGTACATTGCGAACCGTAATATCAAGTTGCTCAGTGGCATGGAGCACATTAGCAGCTATGACGAGATCATACCTTCCTACCTCGCATCCCTGTTCTTCTGGGTCGATTGAAGCATCCAAGAGCAAGAATTGAAACCGAGGTTCTTCATTTTCGAACTTTTGCCTAGCGGCTTCAAAAAATGATGGGGAAATGTCTGTGAAATCGTACTCCGAGATTGCACTTGTAGCCTCATTGTCTGCTCCTCTGATGAGGGCAGATCTCAGGATATGATCAGTGGTGGATCCCGTACCTGCGCCAATCTCGAGGACTTTTAGCCCAGGACGTTTGTAGGCTATTAATTCGACTACACGAGCTAGCGTCGTCTCGACTCTGATGTTGACCTCTTGATAATACCTTGATGCTAGATCCGTCTGGAAGAGGATCTCTAGGGGATCAACATTTCCTTTGAGGACATTGACGATATTCCTTCCAACCTCGACGAATATTTCCCCTTCGGCATTCGCATTCTCCACACTGTTCATGATCAAATCGATTGCTTCAAGCTCAGCGGGACCGGTAGAACCTTGTGGGTCATATTGCTGGTTCGCTGGAAGCCCTAAGCTCGCAGTATATTCATTCATCCATTGCACGTACCTTTGGTAATGTGGTCTTGTGCCGTCCAATTCTGTGGAATCCACCTTTGCTTGAATTTCAAGACTGAAATGGGTTAACAATAGAGACATGTCTTCATAAAACTGCGAGAGATCCTTTATCGGAACACCTTTTCGGCAGTATTCTCTAGCCATGGCTTGGTCCAACAAATCGATATCAGGTTTCCAATCAATGTTGTAACAAAGCTTCTGCTGCTTGATAATCTCGTCTTTATTGCTCCCGGAATCCACAAATGTGGTTTCCAGTCCGGAAATAGCTACCATACCTTCTCCAGTATCACAATCGGCAGCGTACACCGTGGAAATATTGCCACGGGGTATGTCCTCATCGATCTTGCCATACACGCGAATGGTATCAGTCTTTGGATAGCTAACGCCAGTGCCTGCAATCCAAACTGACGCCACATGGGTAGGAACAGCTGTTGGCAACTTATCTTTATGTTCTTGGGCGAGAGAAACTAGTATGGTTTGAAGCATAGCGTCCAATGTAATAGGATGGATAATATGATCTTGACGATGGTTTGAATCGTCCACAGCTGTCCATCGGAATGCTTCAACGTCTGCGCAAGCTTCTAAATTTGGCCCTGTGGAGATTTTGTCCAAGGATTGGAAAGTAGAGCCAAATTTTAACCCCGTGGCATCAAATTTCTTGTAAATTTGATCCGCTTCTATGGTTTGATTGCACCTCGTAACGCCCGCTTCAACCGCGTCTCTGACCACACTGGCTTTGGAACTCGAAGTTGGGTTAAGGCTTTCCTTTAGCGACTCATATTGAACTTGTATCATTCCATGGCAGTTCTCCTCCCATCGTTCATTTTGCAGTGTGGACAACGTGAACTCGGCAAACAGGGATGTCTTGTCAAATTTGTCCTCCAATGGAGTTATATGAAAAACTGACTCAACGCCGTGATCATCAGACGCAACGCGCAAGGGAGCTAGGAAGGAGGCATTCTTAATCAGGTAGCCTTTTACGCTCTCACCGGGGCTGGCGATTTGTTTTGCAGCTTCGATTGCCATCACAAGCATACCAGCGGCCGGGTATATTGTTGACTCATTTACTACGTGGTCTTGAATCCATGGTGTCTCTGAAACCCTGGTTATTTTTCGCCATTTCATGCCTTGTGCATTTGAACCCACAATTTCCGTCCCCAGAAGATCTAAACGAGGCTGTTTGCGAAGTTTATAATTCTTTCCAAGATCACTCTCGTGCCAATGCCGAGTAGAATGATCGAAGGGATATGAGGGTAAATCCGCCAAGACTTTTGGTTGACTCCGTTGATCAGCCATATTGACCTTTTCGATATCAACGGGGTATCCGAGACAAGTCAAAGATCCAACAGCATTTAGCAAGGTAGTGATTCCATCTAATTTGCGCTTCAGCACCGAGCCATAACTCACTTCTTTTCCATTGGCGATTGTAGCAAGTGTGTCCTTTATAGGACCTTGGAGAGCGGAATGCGGACCTATTTCGAGAAGGTCGAAAAGTTTACGCTTTTTGCGTTGTCCAAAGTGGATACTATTTTTGAAAAAGCCAGAACATGTAACTGCCTTAATCAAGGCTTCTGAAAATCTGACTGGAGACACCATGTTTTGCACCCAGTATGATGCTTTCTTGAGCTGGTCGGATTGTACTTCGCATCCTGTAACAGAGGATATCATAGCTGCCCGCAGAGAATTTTTGTTAGACTCCAATCCATCTATCATCGACAAATATCTTTCAGAAATTTGATTCATATGGCTAGAGTGATAAGCGACAGGGACTTTTAGTTTCCGGTTGAACACTCCTTCTGCGTCTAATTTCTGCTTGAGTTTGCTTATGCCCGCCTCATCGCCAGAAATTGTGACGCTTTTAGGACTATTGATGCATGCCACCACAACATGTACGGAGGGACAGTCTCTTAACAGTGAATCTATGTAAGCCATAGCCTGAGTCTCTGATAATCCTGCAGCAAGCATAGCACCGTGTCGAGATGTGTCATGCGCAAGACCTTCCGCCAACTTGCCCCGAAAGTATGCCACTTTACAAGCTGACAACATAGAAAGTGCTCCAGACGCATAAGCAGCGGCAATTTCTCCCGAAGAGTGGCCAATAACAGTTGCTGGGAATATTCCAAAACTGTGGAGGAGATCCACTATGGCAACCTGCATCGCTGTGCATATTGTCTGGCTCAGTTCTGAATTATTGATCTTCGAGGCTTCGTCATCTTTCAGCAGCTCCTCTAAAAGTGACCACTTGCATCCAATATTGCTAAGATGACTTTCAAACACCTTGAGCGATTCATGGAAAACGGGATATGCCATCAATTCATGACCCATCTTGGCATATTGCGCGCCTTGACCTGTGAACACGAAACCAAGGCCCTGCTCTTTCCGGCATCGTACTGGTTTTGAAATTGTATATTTTAGGTTTCGAAGGGTCAAAACTGAGCTTGAAACTGAGAATGATTTCCAGCTCAATGAACTCCTTCGAACTGCCAGTGTATATGCAAGGTCAGCCATATAGGAAGAGTTCTTGGGCGTTTCGTCCCTGATATCAGAGAAGTGCTCTGCAAAGTCTCTAGACATCTTCTCCATTCCTTTCTCGTCTGAAGTAGACCAGATGAGCAATTTCGGAATGTCAGTGTTAGATGCGGGCCGGATGATAATTTGGCTGCTTCCAGATTCCCATTTTACAGAACCTTCCGGGTTTGATTCTCGAATAGAAGCTATATCATCCCATTGGCCGATGTGTGGAGATAGCATCCCGGGCAAAGTGGGCGAGATTATACTATCGATAGCGGGTCGAAAGCCTGCTGTCTGGTGGTTTCCAGAAATACCACGCATAGTCATGAAGTTATATGCATCATCGAGAACAACATGAGCGTTAGAACCACCCAACCCAAAGGAATTGATAGAAGCTCTTCGCAGACCATCAACAGGCCATGGTATGCATTCTTGTGGAAACTAATTTGTGATCAGACAGTTATTCGAGAGAAAGATGTGACTTGACTCACTGCTAAATTCAATTTTTTGGCATCAATTTTGGGATTGAGCTTCTCAAAATTGGCATTTGGAGGTATGACACCTTTTTCCAAAGCCAAAATGGTTTTTATGAGGCCAGCAATTCCACTAGCTCCTTCCAAGTGACCAATGTTCGATTTTAACGCACCACTAGGAAGGGTTAGTTGGCAGGAAGCAAGCTGGGATACCAATTGACCTACACATATATGGGGTTAGTAGATGATCTACCCTCTCCTAAAACTCGGCCAATTGCCAATGCCTCAATAGGGTCTCCTACTGCAGTTCCAGTTCCATGAGCTTCAAAAAAGGTAGTGCTATGAAATTCTAGACCAGCTGATTCATAAGTATCCCTAATCAAAGCCTCTTGTGCATCCTGACATGGAGTCGTGAGGCTAGATGTTCTCCCATCCTGGTTAGTCCCAGTGGCACGAATAACGGCACGAATAGTATCGCCATGTGCTATAGCGTCTGACAGTCGTTTGACAACAATAACGCCACATCCCTCTCCTCTCCCGTAGCCGTTTGCTCGGGAGTCGAAACTGTAACTTTTGCTGTCAGGTGACACAAGATTCAAATTTGACAGAAGAAGTAATTGTTCTACAGAAGAGATAATATTTGAACCACCCACGATAGCCATGGAAGATTCTTTGCTCCGCAGACTTTGGCATGCAAGATGTAAAGCTACTAGACTGCTGGAGCAAGCTGTGTCGACATGCATACTTGGACCTCTCAAGTTATATGCCCAGCTAATCCGATTTGCGAGAATTGAGAATGTATTTCCGGACGCTGCGTGCTTGGATAATCTTTCTGGGTCCTTCAAGGACATTATTCGGAAGTCATCGCAGAATGATGCACTAAATACTGCTGTTTTTGATCCATTGATGGAGTCCAGTGGTATTCCAGCTGAAGAGATAAGAATCAGCTTCGTGAGTCTGGTGCATTGATCATATTTGAAACAAAATGTGGCCATTAAAAAATGTACATACCATTCTCGAGGGCCCCATATGAGACCTCCAGCATCAATCTTTGTTGTGGGTCCATAGAAGCGGCTTCTGCTGGTGATATCGAGAAAAATGGGGCATCGAAGGTAGCTAGGTCCTGCTTAAGAAAATATGCTCCCCGGTGAGTTATCTTGTTAATTGTTAGCAGTAGCTCTCTGCTTCATGGGAATAAGCTCACTGTGTCGACTCTAGCTTTATCTGGATGATAGAATGCATCTATATTCACTCTATCTTTTGGTATCTCTGTCATAGCGTTCCTTTTCTCTGCCATCATCTTCCAGAATGCCTTAGGCGAAGTAGCATCTTCGGGGAATTCAAAAGACAGGCCAACTATAGCTAATGGCTCCATAATATCAGATTCAAATTGAAATGAGTGGTCACTGGAAAAGATAGGTGGTGTAGATAAGGAATTGAAGTTATTGGTTGTCTCATCGGGAACTTGGGAATTCTTTTGAAAGTTCGACATGTTGAAAATTTATTTTGAGTCGTCTTAGTAGTATAGTTGGAATCTAAAATGGAGTATGCAGAAAAGATTCTATTATGTGCGATAGCGAAATACATATAGATAGGGAAGCTGTACTCGACTTTTATCAACAGATGTCCCAGGGGAAACGAGACAGCTGAGAGAACATCATCGGTGAGCGAAAACATTACATAGGTGCAAAGTCACTATGCGTGGGGTCCATGACCGAAAATCGCTCAACCTTCCTCCTTGAAAAGCAGAGATAGCCTTGTAGTATCTTCACAATAATAAGTATGACTAAATTATGATTAATTTGATATCGGGCGGATTTCCTGATAGAGTAATAACATAATCATTCGGTTAAAACATGACATGCATATGTCAGAACGGGGCGCCACGGATTGGGGCACAGTGACACACCAACCATGGATTCTGGCAGATAATTTACTCGGTTAGCTTCAACCTGAAGAAATTACACAGCCAAGTCACCAATGGTACAAAAACAGCTCAGTTTTTATAATGCGGGGATGACATTACGGGAGGTTGCACTGGTGACTGCATATATATCATGCACCACATTTGCACTCCCTCGCTCCACGCCATGTAGGTGCATACACAGTATATACGGTTATACATAATCAGCACTGCCTAATTATAGTCTCCCTTCAACAAGAGGCCTAGCATTTGTTATATTTACCTTTGACGCCCTGAAACTTGCTCCATTGAAGTTCAGCTCAACCTAGAAACTCTCGAAGGGTTCAGCAACCTCACCTTATCACTTGAATTCATCTTCCAGCCATTACGAATTATCATGAATCCTACAGTGGTAATTGCCCCTGGAGCATGGCCATTAGTTGAATTCTATCAACCCCTCATCCAAGCCTTAGAGTCTCGCCACTACCCTGCTGTTTGCAAGATTCCATCCTCCTATTCGACAGAAACCGAGACGTTGCAACCAACGAACCCCGACTGCAGACATCTTCGTGAAGAAGTCTTAAAGCCTCTAGTGAATGAAGGAAAAGATGTTGTTCTTGTCATGCACTCATATGGCGGTATCTAGTAAGCTTTATCGGTTCATTCACCTCCTTTGTTCTAAATGCCTCATTTTGTTTCTCAATCTCAAGATCTAATTATATGTTTCCTCATAAATATACATTTTTTCACCAACTCGTCATTTTCCTCAATGTACTTCGAAGTATTTTTTGGTAGATAATGCTGACTCCTTAACCTTGCAGTGGTGGCTCGGCAGTCGAAGGTTTGAGTAAGACAGAACGAGCTGCCAGTAGTAAAGCTGGTGGAATTATCGCCCTTATTTTCTGCGCCGCCTTTACAGCTCCTAAAGGAATGACGCCAATGCAGGTCATGGGTATTGATCCTGAGGATCTACCAGATTGGATTCATCATGATGTAAGTCCCATGTCACTTTTTACCGCTTTCTCTTTTAATACCCATCAATTTTCGGCACTAGCCACCTAAACATGTATTTCCTTTTCATAACAGTCAATATGTCTTTTATACTTGTACTGACAACTCTACTCTAAATCAGAAAGAAACCAACCTAGTCAACCTTACCAAAGCCCGAGAAATGCTGTTCCACGATCTCCCGGACGATGAAGCGGAGAGACTAGCCAACGCTCTCCCAAAGCAGCCCTACGCTTCCTTCGCGACTCCAGTGCTGTACGATCCATACAGTGATCCATTTTACAAGGGCAGATTAGGATACATTTTCACGGAGGCTGATCGTATTCTTCCATTGGCTGCACAGGAAATATATGCTAAGCAGGCTGGAGCAACAGTGACTTCTGTCTTAAAAGGCTCGAGCCACTCTCCTCATTTGGAGAGGCCGGTTGAGTTGGCAGATGCTACTATTGAGATGGTTAAGAAAATTATTCAAGTATAGCGGAGACTTCTATGGTAGACAGTTTCTGAGGGTTCGGTGTGACTTTAGTGGGTTTAGTTACTTTGGGTTGATCACTACGCTGCTGTTTGCAGTGATAGTCCAGAATTTGACATTGCTCGTTTTCTGCATTTCGAAGGATTTTACTTTTCCCTATTTGTGCGGTCAACCACCACGCCAATCCGTTCATTACGTTGGCAAACCGCTCACAAGTTACTCTACTGAAGCCCTCGCCGTAGCTATCAGGAGAAACGGGGAATTCTGCGTAAATTGCTTGGGGCTTAACTTTTGATGCAGTACCAAGAACATTGACAATCAGCTGATCCTTGTCGCGGGCTGGAGCCGGCTTTCTGAGATATTCTTCGATTTGGGTAATTTCCATCGTAATGTCAAATAGGCTTTGCGGATTTTACTGTGGGGAGTTATGATCACCTAGTTCTGATACTCTTGCAGATTGCTCTAAATACTGCCAAGGAAAATCAATGCTCGTAACCCGGATATACAAAAAACCCCTTTATTGAAATCGCTTAGAATCTAGATGTTCTGGAGGCAGTGACATAGCCCTTTTTCCGCCCCCATCTAAAACTCCATAACTAACCCACCACACAACCCCTGAACCCCTCTATCTAATGTTAGTATTTTTATCAGGCAACGTAAGATAACCGGCGAAGCATGTGGTGTATTATTGGCATATTAGCACCATCACCGTCTTGGGGAGTCTCTCCAATATGACAGGCCTCAGCGCCCAGTTTCTTCAAGCTGTACAACTTTTTAGCATGAAAATATGAGTTCAAGAGTGTGGAAAAAGTCCATGAATGTCTTGATCATAAATCTCTGCACACATCAGCATATTCGGAATTTTAGGCAGTCGGCGAGTAGGTATTAGATTGCGCTTTTCGCCTTACACAAGCCTTGATGCAGCCGCTAAATCTTTCTACCTCAGTCTAAAAAAAATAAGCCCTACCGGAGAATTTCTTTAAAAAGCTGGGGGATTTGTGCAAGACACATGTAACCTTAATTTAAGAGCCGGGATGGCCACGTTTATATTGGCTGTGGCGGTTGTGGTGTAACTTAGTCATGCATGTCAGATGGAAACTCATCTGCCATGTCATTTTAGGGGGTTACGGATAAAGTCCAAGTCTCTGGCATTCTGTCGCCATCGAATTCACACCTCAGCTGTGCTTACATTGGAAATATCCGTAGGTGCTATGAAGAGTGTGATCTTCGCATATACACAGTGTTAGCAAAACCATTGGATGATGCCGAGAATTCCAGACGATTTCTTAAATTATTAACTGATAAATCGAAATAACCGTGAAATAGCTATGCTAATCAATGTAGCATTTCAGGGGAGGTATGCATATGCTAAATCCTTTCCAATATCAGCTCTTGCGGCACAAAACACCAATTTCAAAATTCGCCCGGTAGATGCACGTGTGCCAATGCGGCACTGTCAACGTCCAAACACCCGGCATACCTTTTGAATAGGCTATTAGAGCTGCTTGAAAGCTACGCCGCATACCAAGCCGTTCTTTAAAGGCTCCCGGAGTGATATTGTCTGGCCATATGAGTCTTCTATTTGTGCGACAAAAGCTTTTTCTTCCTTTCGCAAAGCTGGTGCCCGTAAATTGGCCATCTGTACACCATTAACCGTGAAATATTATACCATAATAATCTTTAGTTATTCTACATGCAAATCTAAGTACAAACATCATGGATCCTAGCTATAGCGACAATACCAAAGAAATTAGAGCAGAGTTATCTTCACTCACAAACAAACCATCTTCAAAATCCCTGCGAGATCAAGTGAGAATCAACGGCAGTTCCGAACAAGTTCTGCACTGAGGACATCTGACAGGTTGGAGACTTCATGTTCTCACACTATGCTAAATTCTCATGATAGGATGTGACATATTCAAACGAATAGTATTTCTAACATGATGATAGTATCTGCCTTTCCATATTCCTGCCAAATCTCGAGGTCTAAATCGTCAGCACTTCCCCCGTCGACATTACAAATGAACTTCATGGATTCAGTGAAGCCGGTTGGGTCATCGTCAGCTATTTGATCACTTATACTGGTAAGCAAGCTTGATAAACTCAAATCTACAGGCACTTTCTGTCTCTTCTTGAAGATCTGCTGACGGTGGTAGCATTTATCATACCTGGGCCAAGATTAGCGATATTTTGGGCGGGAAGAAAAGTCTAGCTACCTCACTCGATATTTTCACGGCTTTTTCAGGTTCATGTGGAGCGTCGCACAAAATCACACACTTGTAAGTACATTTACTGTGTCAGGTATCTCTTAGCCAAGCTTCTAACGTTATTCACAGGATGATATGTCGCGCGTTTCAGGGGCTTGGAGCCGCGGGTTGCTTTTCGATTGCCACGATTGTTTGTTTTTGAGATGGCTCCAAAAGAAAAATATCCCATTTGCGGAGTAAGTTTGACTGAGAACTCTTTGTTTTCACCATATTATCACTAAGAGAAGAATTATTATGCTATTATATCTGTAGATTTAGCATTGGCGACCGCACTTGGACTAATCCTTGGGGGACTCATCGCGGAGAATACTTCTTGGAGATGGGTGTCTATCCTGAAGTATGCTTTTCGACCTAATTACATTCTTAGAATAATCGGCTAACACCACGAAGCGTCCCAGCACGAATAGTCACGATAACGTTGCTACATCTATCCAATGCCCGCCGCTTTTCTAAGCCATGAAAATTCTTTCTTGGGCCAGCCGAGTTTAAAGGCGAAACTATCGATTGAATCCCCTCTCCATATTGACGCCCTCGGGACTCTACTGTTGCTTGGGATCTATTTGTTACCTCCCTCCTGGAAGCATCTGCAAAATTCTGATGAGGATCAACTACTAAAATAACGCTGCTTGTGCTATCAGGGGTGTTCCTCATTGCGCTCCTATTTTGGGAACGCCATATTACAGTAAGCTCATTCCAACAAGAATCTTCTTCCCTTGACGTTTCATGCACAATAGAGCATGGATAGGTATGCTTTTCACATCTCTCCTTCTAGGCGTCCCATTCGTCCCATTCACGGTACCCGTGGTGAACATTCCACAAAAGTTTCAGACTGTCAAAGGACTATCACCACTTCAAGCCGGAACTAGGTTACTTCCTTAAGCACTTTTAGCACCTATTGGTTCCTTCACGGCAAATGGTATTATTTCAAAAGCAAAGAAATTTCGACCCGTATTTCTGGTTCTTGTAGGTCCATTCTGCAAGTTCTTGGACCTGATCTATACTCCACATTAGACACTGGCACTGATATGAATAAAAGCCAATATGGTTTTCAAGCAATCTCTGGTTTTGGACAGGGAATCTTATTTGGTACTCTAGTCTTAATGACCCCATTTAACGTGGATTTACAAGATCTTGGTATGTAATCTATTTAAATACCACATAATAATAAATCCAACATATCACATATAGCCACCGGTACAAAGGCTATGGTACAGTTTCGTCAACTTGGTAGTGCTATTGGACTCTCAATAGCCTAGAGCCTAATGAACTCCCAACCAGCATCCAAACTTTCCGCGGTTTTTACCAAAGAGCAACTGACCACCCTTTTACAAACCACGACTGCGGTAGCTCGATTTTCACCAGATCTCCGAGCTCGGGTCATTGGTGTATTTTCTTTTGTATATGGGCTGCAATTGAAAGTTGTAACTGCCTTTGCTGCTGCCAAAGTCCTTACTCCGCTTTTAATTTTGAAACGGAAGCAAATAAGAGTTGGGTCATGAAGGCTATGTTGAGAACAGGCTTTTAAAAATTTGGTGTAATAAACAAGAAATAAAAACAACTTTTTATGTGAGATGGCAAGAAGTCTAAGAGGAATTATATAGATGTAGTCAGTATAGTTCAGGAAACAATATCAGGCCAATACCTCTTCCCACTCGACAAATTTAGTTTCCCGACTCATAACTTCGGATTGGGCCAATTAATTCAGACAAATAAACTGATTCGGACCTCTAATTAGTGTTGGAGTATTCCCTATATCCCTTTCCATTCTCATGATAGCCTCCTCAGCCACTGGAACCGGTGTAGAGAAAGTCACTCTCGCCCACCCTACTTCGTGCGGAATACCATTGTAAAAGTTTCAGAGACTAACGAAGACTCCATTTTTAGCGAGCTGCGAGAATATCTCATCAGCTTCTTCCTGTGTTCTCGCATCCGGAGCTAATTTTGCAAATATGAATATTCCTTCCATGGCAGGCAGAAATTTTATCTTCCACTTGCTGGGGCTATCTGCAAATAGCTTGTATGATGTCGTGAGGTGGTCAGAGTTCGTTTCTATTAGGCGAGGAGGGCGAGGAGAATCAAGTAGTAGTCTTAGATAAAGCGAGCTAAGCGTTGAAATACTTGCATATGATAGTAAAGAGATTGCAGTCGGAGTGGGGTGTTAATTTGTGATACGAAACAGCCCTGTAAAATTCGTTAGTTGAAAATCAAAGGGGGGAGAGCTTATGAAACACATACGGTTCTGATACCACTTGAACTGAACATTTGCTTCCGCTCAATACCACATGAACCTTATCGAAATCAATCAATCCTTTGTTTCGTATCGAAAGTACTGATCGAAATGGAGCTATGTGTTCATCTAAATTCTTATAGCTTTTTATTTATTCCAAAGCATACAACTCATCTGAAATCAGATGCAGGCCTCTTTCTTGACGAAACTTCTGACAAGCCTCGAGATAATCCTTCGTGTAACATCGTGAAAATGAATTACGTGGATCACAAAGAACAACGGCTCTGATACGCGAGGGTTCTGAAGCTGTATCATATGCAATGATGAGAGAGGATAGAAGTTCTTTTGAGTGTGAGCTTGGTGTGTAAGAGGTGAGTGAAGCTACAATGGTGTGAACATTTGTACGGAGGTACGGTTCCATGCCAGCTGTAGGAAAATGTTACTATTGAGTTCTTTTGCCGGAAGGAAAAAACAGGGTTAATGCAATTAACTTACACTAGGATGCCCTAAGAAAGCAAAATTTATTTACTATAAGAATATATAAGTACTTCCTGAAAGGCCTAAAATATTAATATATGAAGTACATTATGTATATAGATTTATTAAACAAATATCCAAAAATAAGATTTCTAAAATCTAAAGAATAATCTTTATAAGAAGTATTTATAATGTGGTTTAACACCGAGTGTATCACTTTTACCTCAATTTGCACTTTCTAACTTATATCATTTAACAATCATTAAATCAATCAATTAAAACTATTAAGAATCTAATAATCTAGGATCTATTATATTATTTTGATAAGTTCTTGAATTATGACCAGTCTTTCCACACTTACTACAATATCGATTAGTAGATGATTCCCTATTAGAATTTTCCTCATTTTGATACTTATTGTATTGAATCTGAATATCAATCTCTTATTGAGATAATATATCTGCAGCTTCTTATTCAGTAAATACTTCTTCTTGATGTAATTAAGTCTTTTTCATATATCGATATTTATTTAAAACTTCATTTATCTTCCGAAATATATAGTTTTTTACATTTAAAAATATATTTTCATATATTAATCTTTTTGTATCTTTAGTTAAAATTAATATAATTTCGAATATAAATATAAAGAAACTTGATTGATGATGAATTATTCGAGATTTCATTAAAGTTGATTAAGAAAGAACTTCAATTGGATTATGAGAAGTTTGAGAGTGTGACCAAAAGGGTGTTTATAGACCAGCAATTGTATTTAACTTAGAATCTACAGGTGAAGAGCACCTGTAGATGGGGATAGCTACTCTATATATACACAAATGAATGGCCTAGCCGCAATGGCTAGGCAAAAAGAAGTCGTATTTATTCCTCCAATGATCTTACTTTACCGATAACCATTGATACCTAGTACTTGTCCGGATCTGATCCTCAGGTCACCTAAATCGCATACTAATCTCGAGTAATCGTATCATGTGTGGACATGGTTAATGTACCTGAGGTTTCTTATATAATAAAGGTGGGAGGAAAGCAGGGATTTCCGTCACACAATTGCTGGTCTATAAACACTCTTTTGATCACAATCATTAATAAATCTTTTATAGATTAATTCAAAAACAAGATATTTATAATATATAATTAAAAAATTATTATTAAATTATCTATTATTTTATTATTTTATTATTTTATTATTTTATTATTTTATTATTTTATTATTTTATTATTTTATTATTTTATTATTTTATTATTTTATTATTTTATTATTTTCTATTAAAAATTCTTCAATAACTTCTAAAAAGAAAATTAAAATAATATTTTTCTTAGATTTTTAAAAGGGTTTAAATTTATTAGGTCTAGAAGGTGAAGGGGTTGGAGTTGTGTTGTTGTAACGATACTGTACTAAAGGCAGCGGCTGCCTAAGGTTCGTCGGTTGGTAGTTATGGGTTAAGGCTTTATCACTGGTATTTACTTGGAAGTGAAGTCGTTACTAGATTAAGTAGAATGTAGGTAAACTAATTGATAACTAAGTTGAGCACGAAGCTCCTAGGGCTCCTTATCACGTGATTTCTGATGGTGCGTGCGCATACGATCTTCAGGTGACCAAGATCACATACTAATTCGATGAAATCTGATCGTGTTTGCACAAGGCCTAAGCTCTCCTAATTAATCAGTTTGCTACCATCGTAACACCATCAATCCTAATGGTGAATCGTGACAGTTGTATTGTGTTGTATTGTATTGAGTGTATGTGGAAGGGTGAGTGTGAGTGTAAAAGAGTTTGATGATTTTGTTGAAATGCTCAAATGTTAATTAGAACAATTTGGATTATAAATAAATAGAATATCTCGCTGTGAGCGCCGAGTATTGAGATATAATTCTGAGAGAGATATTTTTTGAGACGTTCGAATTTTTGATCGATGTGGTTATGGTCGATATGGTGTGAGATGATCAAATATTGTAATTTTAATACTGAGATGCTGTGATCGAAATAGATATTGTGATGAGGAGGTTGTAGACTGGATATTAAACTAGCAGAGTAAAGAATAATTGTTGGTGTTAATGAGTATTAACTCCAAATTTTACTATTCAAATGGATATTTACATGATAATATAATCAGGGAATTTATTTATCGATTCTAATACAAATGTTCTAATATAATAGAAAAATTGATAATTAAATTCTTCAAGTTTTAAGATCTATTCTATGAAAAAAACTGTTCATTTGCGCTATTATATTTAAAAACAAAACTCCAAGGATATCTATCACTCTAATCACCATACACCTAACATCAGTCACGTCTAGATCTAAAATCTATCCACATTCATACTTTCCTCTATTATGCCTTCTTCCACTTCTCCCCAGAAATAATCGGACCAATAAGTTCAATAAAATAAGATTTTCCTTTCCCTATCTTTACCATCAAACTAGGGACTCTCCAACCCATAATCTGTCCTACACCACCTGCACTACCGATTGGTACGAAAATCGTCTCTTTCAATGGTTTGAACTCCAGTTGTACAGGATAACCATCCGAACCACCTAAGAACATCTTCAACAATGAGGCTAGGTATCCCGGAGCCGGCGTGGCGGGTTTCTTGATATCGAGATCGCCGGAAATATCTACCGCTAATGAAGAAGATAATGTTGTAATCATAGGGTCGACTTCCATAGCTAGATTAGAACTACCGGCTACGATATCCCCTAGTGCATATATTCCCTTTACATCATCTGAATCAGCTCCTTTGACACGGAAGTATGCATCGCGTGTGATCACTCGTCCTGTTTCATCGAGCCAAGTTTTAGGTAAAAATTGGCTGTTGGCACTACCTCCTGTAGCGTCGATATATATATCGACCTCACGAGAGCTACCATCGCTAAGTTGGAGGGTAGCAGGTGAAGCATCAGGCTGTGCCGGGTTGGTACTTGCGACGCGTACATTGTGTATGACTTCCACGTGCATATTTTCGAGATAATCTTGGGCTCGTACACTTGTTGCTTCTTTAATCCTGGGAAGAAGTCTATTTGCTCCGGAAAGTAGTGTTACTTTGCAGTTAGGATAATTTGTAGCTATTTCTCCAGCCGTTTCGACACCTACTGCTCCTCCTCCAGCGATCAAGACGGTTTTCGCATTTGGAAGTGCGGTGTTTAAGGAATCGAGAGCTTTTTTTGTTATGGATTCATTTCCATGGAGACCCCATAATGGAGATTTTGAGGTTGTGCCTGTGGAAATAATGAGGGAATCATAATGAATTTGTCGCGTATCGCCTTGTTCATTTGATACAGTGACAAATCGTTGTGCAGGGTCCAGATCTGAAGCAGTCCCTTGAATTAATTCGAATTGTGAAGCATCATACTGGGCAAAGGCCTCTGACAAAGGTTTAAAAATCTTCTCTTGTGGGATTAATGTCGAATTGATAAGAGCTCTAGGACTTGCGATTTTAAAGTAGAAGGAAGTATTTGGAGTAACGAGTGTGATGTGGTAAGACTTCGATTGGTCTAGGCGTTGAAGCTGAGGTAAGGTCTGACGAAGCAAATAATGAACAGCATTAACACCTGCGAAATTTCCACCTAAGATGACGATTTCATGAGAATTGGAGTTGGATGACATATTGAAGGGATTTTGGTAAGAAGTTGACTGTGAGATGATGGTGAAGATGGTGATGGTAAGGTCGAATTCTGAAGATTTGTTAGGATAATGGCTATAGAAACTGGGGGTCTATGGGTTTGTGGGTGAATAGGGCAGAGCTTCTGCGACAATTTTTGGAAAGACTGATCATGATAGCTAGCTGGGTTATGAAGGAAGTCGTACGTACCTGATATGTCACCGGGTGATATTCCTTGAGTAATTTTCTAGATGATGAAGCACTTGAAAAATCTCAAGATAGAATTATTGTAGGGGATTTGAATGAACCTTTTATACTTGTTAAATTTTGTCCGCTCGGGCTCAATCAAATTGATGTCGTGGGCACGGATCTTTTAGCTCTCAAGGTTACCTTGAGGTAGTACGGAGTATGTAAGTCTTACTAGGTATTCACTCGAGCAAAGCTTCTGTACTTTTACTTTAGACAACCAATTTCAATATTCCCCGTCACATCATACTGAACGATAATTTGTCAATAATAATTGTCATCACCTTTTAGAGATTACAAATGTTTCTCGTTCTAGCAAATGGAAAAGTCTATGGTGCGCATTTAGACATAGGTTACATTATAATGATTATGTTATCAAATGTTGCCGCAGTCTTTATCTAATCAAAAGCATTTCCGCTGAGGAAGAGAATCATGGCCCGGGCACAAACCCTTGTTTTCCTGCTGGAACTACTTGAACTACAACACATAACAGGTAGGAGGATTACATAACTTCTGCCATAAGCACGTGACATTGCTGAGCTGATCAGGGCCTGCTTAATAACATTTTATTGAGCGGAAGGAAAGGAAATAGGTACAGTATTGTCTAAATTCACCAGTAAAAGAGTTCACACCAAACCCTTTCGCAAGGAGAATCGGAGTTTTTAATCTTATATCGGAATATCTAAAAATCCGATAGAAATTTGAGATTACTTATAAATGTGGTCGCGAATTTATATACTCCGAGCCCTAACCTATTATTGATTCTCTTCTTACAGGGGGTTAGTGTGAGTTCCTACCGATGAATTTAGACGTTAAGGTTATCAGAAGAAATTAACTCATCTCTCGTGCCTTAAACAGATTGAAAAACTTCATTTATGAGGTTAGAGTCTAATCTCGCCGTAAACGTATGACAATCACGTGAAATGCCACGTAGTTTGTCTAACTCGTGACTGGATCCACCCCCATTTTTATACCTATTCGTTCAACTTCCATTCAACATTTCGACGTCATCATCGACTCATTCTATACTCTCTTCCTGTATCTCTACATTTCATTTCATTCATATACAATGGCCACAGAAACAGAACTATCACTTTTCTCCAACGATTTAATCTCAGAGGAATGTCAAAATTCATTACCTGAAGGCTACAAATTCCGTGCTCTTCAACGATCTGATTTTCATCATGGTTATTTGGGTGTTTTGCGGGATCTTGCATATGTTGGACCCATTACAGAAGAACAGTGGGAGGAACGTTTTGATGCAATGAAGAAGTGTGAGGATACTTATTATGTGTTGGTGATTGTGAAGGAGGGTGGTGATGAAGAGGTTATTATGGGAACGGGCACACTTGTCGTGGAGATGAAATTGTGAGTGCATTTCACATCTTAGACTTCTCTTGGAAATGACGATTAGGAATTCTAACAATCTTTGGTTTTGAAGCCTTGGAAATCTGGGTTTACAGGGTCATGTAGAAGATGTGTGTATTTCTGCAGATCATCAAGGACAGCAATTTGGCACGAAACTTATTAAGGCGTTGGATCATATTGCAGCTGAAAGAGGTTGTTACAAGGTGCGTACATTTTTTTCATTACCAAAACTTGAATACAGCAACTGCTAAAGTCTTTTCAGAGTATACTTGATTGCGGTGAAAAGAAGAGGGCTTTTTACGAAAAGTGTGGCTATGAAGGAAGAGGTTACGAAATGCATCATTATCACGACCTTGAATCAGAGGCTGCATTGAATGGAGTTTGAGTTCAAGTTGTACACGCTCTCAAGTCTAATGTTTGCTTCTACAAGTTTGGTGGTAGCAAGCGTGGCTCATGATAATGGTATTGAAAATTTACTTCCTAAAGTCTTGCGCTGCCTTGCTCACTTTTCTTTTCGAATTTATCATTTTTTGACGCATCTAAACGTTCAAAAAACATCTCAATATCACGATCAACAACAGCATATTCCTATTTTGTCAAAATGGGCAAGATTATTCCTTTGCTAGACTGGTACGAATATCTGTCTATAATCATCTCAATAAATCAACCAAAGATACGCCTACTCCAATTGCCCTTCGGAATCTTACTGGAACAAGCACATTGATGCATTGGCTTGAACTTCCCAAACTCTCAAAATCTTAGCTTCATGAGGCATTACTTCCACAGTATATGGAATATCATAAATCCCCTCCCTATGTTTCCACAAATCACGAACTCGATAATGATCCCAAGTCATAAGAAGATCCCGCCGAGGACTCAAGCTCATTTCCGCAGTGAAACTTCCCCGATTGAGTAGTGCAACGGCATAACTCCCATCCGACATTTCTTTAGCATATACTTGAAGATCCCCATCAGCTTGATAACCTACACCAACCGTTTGAGCCGATATTCCCAGCGAATCTTGATTTATCTCAATAATCTCCCTATTCGTAAGAGTTTGAAGATCATACATATCCAAAGTGCGTATATCAGAACCAATAAGCAAAGGAGAAGCAACCATAGCCCACATACTAAAATGAGTACGATACTCAATATTCGACGCACCCGTTCCAACCAGCTGAGTAGAATTTCCATTCAGACCAACAATAAGCACATCATAATCATTCCAATGACCCGGACCCGAATATTGCACTAGGTTATTTCCTCGATCTATCATATCTAATACGTCGAAATAATATTTTTCTCGCTTTCCCGGATAGTTGAAATCGTCAGAGATGTCTTGTCCGATTCGCCATTGATTTGCTCCCTCTTCTGCAGCCCATTCCCAGATATCGGCCCATCCACAATGACATGCATGGTATACGATTGCACGACCACTCGCTCGTAAAGCCTTTGACATTTTCAATACAATTTCTTGGACTTTGGATTTTGGTGCTTCGCTATGAGAACAACAACTGGAAGAATCAGAAAATTCCTATCAAAATGGTGCGTAGAAACCCTAATTTACCTATCATATTTCAAATGATCAACTCCCCACTCAGCAAACATCCTCGCATCTTCCTCTTCATGCCCCAAACTCCCCGTATATCCCGCACACGTCACATCACCAGGACCTGAATAAATACCTAATTTAAATCCTCGTTCATGTGCATAATCTGCTAGTGCTTTTATGCCGTTTGGGAATTTAATAGGATCGGCTTCGAGAGGGTAGGATGATCGTGGGCCTTTGTGCCGTTGCCATCCGTCGTCGATGTTTATGTAGATGTATCCGGCGTTTTGGAGTTGGTTGTGGACCATGCTGTTGATGGTGCTTTGGATTAGGGTGGAGGTGATTAGGGGGCCGAATTGGTTCCAGGTGCTCCAGCCCATTGGGGGGGTAAGGGCGAGGGTTTTGGGCTGGGGGTGGGTTGGGGAGAAGGAGGTTGGGGAGGAGGAGGGGGAGGATGAGGATGTATTTAGACCGTGAACGAGGGTGAGATGTATTGTTTGCACAATGCAAGATAGTAGTACTGTTGGAAAATACATTGCCACGATTCTTCTTTGCCAATGTGAATAAACATCTACAAACAACCTTTTAGAGCTTTCCAGGGAATCTTTCTCAATTTAATCATTTCATCAATAAATTCACTCATTCATTGATACGAAGTCACACATACATATACATATATAGACACATACAACCCAATTCCCCACAAACCACAAATTACAAAGCCAAGAAACACAACTTATATCTCACATCTCACAATTCTCACATCAGCACCACCCTTTCTCTCTCTTTTTCTAACCTCCCTTCTCTACGAAAAAGAAAAATCCTACCCTCTGAGTGCATCACCAAGACTGCACAGCATATTCAGCACATCCAAATCCAAATCCAAATCCTTGGTATTGATTTTTCTGCTGCAGTTAAAACTGCATATGTGATTATGTATTACGAGTACATATCCTACATACATATACATATAACCTTAACTAATACAGCGTATATATATTCAGCCGCAAACTCATTCATGCATGTATGTATATGGGCAAATGAGTTTTATCAAAGTAGATATTGATTTTGCTGTGAAGGTGGAGGCGAGGGAATGTAGGTAGGTAGGTAGGTATTGTTTAAGTCATTAGTTAGGGGTAGGTTTTTATATTTAATTCTGTATTATTGGGTTATTAATAGGTCGTAGGTACCTAGGTAATATATATGGGTAATTATACAGAAAAATCACAAACTGCAGGTGGATAGAGTGATTTTGGGGAATTGGGGTACGGATTTAGATTGGATTGGGTTACGTTTTGTAGATATTAGATTTATATATGAATACAAATATGAACCTTTAGATTCCAGAAATACGTAATTACACAGAACTTATTTATCTAGTTACCTAATACTGCCCTGCTACTCGTACCCTACTACCTACCCCAAGCCCCAAACTACCCCGCAACCCATCAACCCATCAATCAATCTTGTAACCTTCTCAAACCCTCCCTACATATCCGGGAACACCTTCCTAAAAGGGAGATTTCTTGATATCGATATCGGCAGCTCGTTCATGCCAAGATGACTATCTGCACTTCTGATTGATTCGCTCTTCGGAGAAGTGCCGCGTGCATAGGTATCTAGCTAGTACCACTCAGTGTACCCCATTTTATGTTTTGTTATCTTGATGCATATCTACGACGATATGATAAAAGATAAAAGATAGGAAAATATTGATAAGGATGTAAGCAAATTCTTATTTATGTGATATAAACCTACAAATCTATAGATTTTAATCTCACAAGAAATAACTCTTTTTATTCTTTGCAAAGTGATTTTGGTATTCAGTACTTCTTTCGTTCTACTACTTCGCTCTGTGTAATACCTAAGTAGGTAGGTATCGACGAGACGACAACACATTGATATTTAGAGTTCGGTGTAACCTGACTCAATCCAACTACATCCAATTCAATACAATAATAACCTTCTACAACCTCATCTATTCATCTCTCATTCTCCCATAACCCCTTCCCAAAAAGCCAAAAATCAAACAATCAAAATGGACGTCGACGTCCCCGACACAGAACCTCCAAAAATTCCCCAAACCCACACCACCAACAAATCCCTCCAAATCGACGCGCAAACCGCTACAGAAATCGAACACACAATGACTTTTCGTGATGGACTCCGCAACTATCCCGCCGCAATAGGATGGTCAGCATTTTTCTCCCTTGGAATTATCATGACGGCTTTTGATCCGCAGTTATTGGGGAGTTTATATGCGACGCCGGCTTTTCAGAAGGATTTTGGGTATTTGTTTAAGGGGGGTTATATTATTAGTGCGCCGTGGCAGACGGCGTTGGGCATGGGAAATCCAATTGGTCAGGTTGTGGGAGCGTTGCTTATTGGGTTTCCGATGGAGTGGTATGGTCGGAGATGGGTAGGTTTTATTTTGTTTTGGTTTTGATTTTGGTGTTGGTGTTGATGTTGATGTTGATGTTGGTAGACCAGAGGCTAACTATTGATTTGAAAAGACGTACATGGTATGTGTAGCAGGCACGGCAGCATTGATATTTATGCAATTTTTCGCGCGATCATTACCGGTTCTTCTCGTTGGTGAACTAATCGGAGGATTGATATTGGGTACTTATACGACTATCGCGCCTACCTACGCATCAGAAGTATGTCCCATTGCGCTTCGAGGACATTTAACTTCTTATATTAATCTCTGTTTTGTGATGGGTCAACTCCTTGCCAATGGAGTTATTGCTGGAACATCTCAACTCAATAATCACTGGGCGTATAGCGCGCCTTTTGCAATTCAATGGTTATGGCCTCTCATCATCTTAATCGGTACCATCTTTGCTCCTGAATCGCCATGGTGGCTCGTTCGAAAAGATAGACTTGAGGAAGCGGAAAAATCGTTGAATCGTCTCTCTTCGAAGAAAATCAATAATAAATTGGTCTTGGCTATGATGATTGAGACGGATAGGTTGGAGTTGGAGATGGAGACGGGAACAACTTATTGGGATGTTTTTAATAAGACTAACATACGTAGGACGGAAATTGCAATTGCGGTATTTGTTACGCAGGTTTTTAGTGGGATATATCTTGTGGGATATGCGGCTTACTTCTTTCAACGTGAGTTTTCATTTTCGTGTCAAGTGTTGATTTCTTCGTTTGTATAGGTATCTTCGTTTTCTTTGTGCACACACACCCATTCACACAATCAAAATACCCTCTTTTTCTTGGAACAGATACACACGTTTAAGCTATTATATTCGAGTGCTATTTGAAAACAGAATGATGACTTAATCACTCATCACTTCAGTCGCCGGCCTTGCGGGATCCAAAGCTTTCGATATGAGCGTCGGATTTCTAGCCGTTGGTTTCGTAGGAACTATCCTATCATGGATTTTGATATCAAGATATGGTCGAAGACGCATCTACAACACTGGACTTGCTGTACTCACGACAATTATGTTCATTATCGGAATCTTGGATTGCGTACCAAATTATTCGAAGCGTCCCGCTGTCATTTGGGCGCAATCAACACTCATGGTATGTTGAAGAATATTCGTCGCCGTTCTGTGATGTATAGAATCTGATGATTGGCTTGTATTGATCGCTCTGCGTGAATATAGATCGTTTGGAACGGTATCTTCGACCTTACAATCGGACCAGTTTGCTATACAATTTTCTGCGAGGTATCCGCTACTAAAGTTCGCGCCAAAACCATTGCTGTGGCTACCGCAATGCAAGCGCTTGTTGGAATCGTTATGACAGTCGCAATTCCTTATATGATCAATCCGGATCAAGCGAATTGGAGAGGAAAGATAGGATTCTTTTATGGTAAGTAAATGTTACATTTAGTTATCGATCGCGACAAGAAATGTGTCAATTGAGAGGTGCATTGGTGAATCGAATGACACCAAATATATTTATTTGGTGGTATTAATATCGAAAGAGGATAGTAATAACTAATATTTGAATAGGTGGTTGTTCGGTAGTATGCTTTATATGGTGTTGGTTGAGAGTTCCAGAAACCAAAGGAAGGACGTATGAAGAATTGGATTTGATGTTTGCGAAAGGCGTAAAGACGAGAGACTTCAAAAATTATAAAATCGATTAATGTATGTATGTACGTCCGTTCCAGTCCTATTCATTGATCAAGATTGAGATTGGGCTTTTACCTATAGAGATTTCATGAAGGAGTAATTCTTTCATGTTCACCTATCAGTGAGTGCAGTGCATTGACGAATTGATTGCCTCATGAATCGTTCCAACTTCTAGGGAATGAATCCATAAATGATTATGACATTTCAAACGTCAATCCAAAATCAAAGTCAATTCGTCGAAACCACCTAATCTGGAAAAAATTAAAAGGGTACCAGTACTTACTTACTAGTACTACTTAGAAAATCAATGCGATCGACTAGCTCATTGACACGACAATGAAATTGAGATGGATGATGCTTATTATTATTATTATTCCTGTTAATCCGGTTACTCTCTCACTATCCGTCATCGTCATTATTTCTCATCAGATTTACACCGGTGTATGATGTCCCGAAGAAGTTCCCACTTTTGAGATGTACATCCGAATCCGTCCGCCACACCAAAATCTTGGATTTGTACAAAAAGTTCGAACTGCCGGCGGAAGGGAACCAAGGCCGCGTAAAGCCGTTCAAGGTCTAGGATAAATCCTCAGCCACGAACAAGCTAAACAAGCTAAACACACTAAAGCTTTCCGAGTTCATGTCACGTTGTTCTTATAAAGCTTCATCCTTCATCATTGGTCCTTTAAGTTTTTCGTCGGCTTTTCTAGCGTGTCGTATCATTTCTAATCTAACGTCTGAAATGAATATCTTATGTTCGAATAACCTATGAAAGTTTAGACTAAGAAAAGTATAATTAATGCACAGAACAGTTTTCCTTTTTTTTTTCTTCTCTTAGTACGAGTGTAGTTTGGTCTGGTATGGTTTCCGAGAGAAATCAAACACCTTACCTCATTCAGCTCATCCGCTAAGTGGCTTCTTCCGATTGAATTTTCCCAGCACGTTGCAACCCCCTTTCTTCAAGCGGTGGACGTCGATTCCGAATATTCCCCAAAATGAGGGGAGATAACAGAAATTGTGGATTGTCGTGTGGGGGTGGGAAAACGTGAGATCATTTCTCTATTTATACTTATTGCCCTTGTCTTTAAAGATAGATGGTCATGATTTCATTTTATTTCACAGTCGTCCGCCTCGTTTTTCTTATCTTTATCTACGGGGTCTTCATCTACTTTTATACCTGGCTTCACGAGGTATACGTAGTCGAAAGACTGGTGGAGATGATGGATGAAAAAAAAATGGAAAAGACTTGAACCAATTCGGTTATTCTCGTCTAAAGCGGCCCGACAAGGCTGCGGGAGTTGTCGGTAAAGGCTACTTTACATGATCTACATCATAAGGCGTAAAAGACAGGCACAAGCTTGGAAAATTCATTAATTTGCATTTTTCGAGGCGTCTTCTCCGGATTTCGTTGTTCGAAAATGGAGACGTCAAAGGATTTGACCATTTGACCTTTTGACATCCGTTTCAATCACTTGCATCTATGATGGAAAGCAAATCCAACTCTTTTTGTTGGCATGATCTCAACATGATCAAGGTTGACCATGCAGAATCACCCACTACCCCAGATTTAGTACCCTGAATCAATCAAATCGTACATGATTACTACCGACATCCCGTTGAATTTGTCGAATGATGTTGAAATCATGGAGACCGTTGTTCGCGTCGCCTCGCCAAAACATAATAATTACTAGATAGTGGGGCACTTTGAACTAAAATGGTCCACTGTCACTTATGAAACTCCATATAAAAAAATTTCACTTACGTCTTAGGAACCACCTTCTAACATGGTCTTACCATTCGCACCGACATTCCCCTCATTGAACTTACCTGAATTAAATAGAAATCAATTGTTAATCTTTGCCTTATCTCTCTGTTGAGCGTGTCTAGCCCCGTCCAGAAAACCCTACATATCTTCGTCTCGTTTCCACATCTGTCTAATGTTTTTTCTTCCATCTCTTCCCTCTCCTTCAACACTGACCTCTCCTTCAACACCGGCCACTCCTTCCTCAACTGGTAGCTCCAACCCTACCTTCTTTTTCCAACACCAATCAAAAGTAATTGGATTCAACAACATCATTTCGACCTGTCAAAACCAAACATAGATTTACAAACGAATCATAAATTGCAGATATGGAGGCTGAGAAAGTCAATACGAATAAAGCCATGCCAGACGATATTACAGCCGCCAATAATTTCCGCGGTCACATCAGGGCGGATGATGAGTCCTCGGAAATGAAAGTTGCAGAGGTTCTTGACGCATTTGGTAATGAGGAGGGTGCAGAGGTTCAATGTAAGGTTTTTACCCTCTTAGCTCCGGAGGATACGAGCTGACGTTTTTAATTCAGATAAAACCATGAGTTGGTGGCAAGGAGCAATCGTTATGATTGCTGAAAATATCTCCCTTGGTATCCTTTCTCTCCCAGCTGTTTTGGCAAAAGTTGGTCTCATCGGTGGCGTTATTGCTATTATTGGTCTTGGTATCTTTACCACATATTCGGGTTACGTCTTGTGGCAATTTAAAATGCGGTATCCTCAGGTATGTGAAGATTTATGGACACATTGGAAAAGAATCCCTGTTTCTGACCACTTTTTAGATTGTCACTTATGGAGACATTGGTGGAGTCATGTTGGGAGCCTGGGGTCGTGAGATCCTTGGTGCGGCTTATGTCATCTATTGTATTTTCAGTATGGCTTCGCATCTTCTGACTTTTACAATTGCCATGAATGTTCTTACGAATCATGCTACTTGTACTATTATTTGGGGTGTGGTTGGATTGGTCGTCTTCAGCTTGCTTTCCTTGAACAGAACTCTTAAGAATGTCTCATTCTTGTCCATCATTTGTATGTTTTTTCACATCTTGATTATCGAATGATACTAACTATTATCATAGCATTTACCAGTATTCTCTCCGCTGTCATGCTCACCATGATCGCATTGGGTGTCTCCCCAAAAGCAGCATCCGGTGCCATGAAAGGAACCTACTCACCCTCATTCCCATCTGCATTCAACAGTATCTCCAACATCGTTTTCGCATATGGTGGACACGTCGCATGGGTCAGCTTTATTGCCGAACTCCGCGACCCCCGAGAATTCCCTAAATCTCTCATGCTCCTCCAAACCGTCGATATTAGTTTATACGTCGTCGCCGCTCTCGTCATCTACAGATATGCAGGCGAGGATGTAGCTAGTCCAGCTCTTAACAGCAATACCCCTATCATTCGTAAAATTGCTTGGGGAATCGCATTACCTACTATCATTATCGCGGGAGTTATCTTCGCTCACGTCACGGTTAAATATGTTTATCTCCGTGTCTTCTCCGGAACCAAGTATCTCAACAGCAGAGGCTGGGTCGCCACAGGAACCTGGGTTGGTCTCGCAGTAGGAACATGGACCATCGCCTGGATCATTGCCGAATCCATCCCCGTCTTCTCTGACCTCCTCGGTTTCATCTCCGCCCTCTTCGCCTCTTGGTTTTCCTACGGTCTTCCAGGTATCTGTTGGTTTTACCTCAACTGGGGAACCTGCACCCGTGGTATCAAGAAAATCTCCCTCAGCGCTCTTAATTTCACTTTGATTATCGTGGCCTGCATTATTTGTTTTGCGGGCTTGTATGCTAGTGGTTATCAAATGCATGCCGATACCTCTTCGTCTCATGGTGCTTGGTCTTGCGCTGATAACCAAACTTAATGTTGGTTATGTATGTATCATAGATAGTTTTTGTGCTGTGCTCGCTGTGGGGTTTTTGGATATTGCGGAGCGAAGCGGAGCAAGTAAGTGCATTTGCGGAATTGGACGCGGGATGCCGGATAGCATGGTTTTCATGGGTGGAACTCTTTTTTTTTTTGGTTTTTGTTGTGAGAAAATCTCGATATGAATGAATGGGCTGGCATGGGATGGGTGTCATGGGCGTGGTTTTGTGTATTAGGAGTCGATTGGATTGGGATCGTTTTTGTCGATCGATTGGTCGATTGGTCGATTGGTCATGCTTGATGGCTTACTTCTTTTTTTGTATATTATATTTTATGGTTGTTAATGGTGTGATGAATAAAGAGGCAAATAAATGAAATGAATCAATGAATCAATGGATGAATAAATGTATTTGTATGATTTGTGAGGTTTTGAGTTTTGGGTTTTGAGTTGTGGATTGGAATTGGAATTTAGTAAGAGTTTTTTGGAGGGAAGAAGGGGGGGAGTTTGGGTGTAGTGGGATATAATTATAATGGGGTTTATGATGGGGATTTGGATACGGGTAATTGTTGAGGAAAGGAAGGAAGAGGGGAAAAAGACGAGAGAAAGAGAGAAAGATAAGATATTATATATACATGCGTGTTTGTATATGTATGTTGGGTAGAGTATTTATAAATAAGAAAGAAACTCTTGTACTTGACTATCTGTTTATAATAGTAGAGAAAAAGTATCTTTTATAGTATCAGAATTTTGATATAATATAAAATAATAATTAAAATCTCAGATTAGAATTCTGAGATATGGTTTAAATATTTAGGTATTAAATATTTACTTTTTCTTTTTATATTTATAGATATATTTGAGTAGAGATAATAATAAAATATATTATATTAGTCCTTAGCTATACACTATACATTATATTCTAGTACTTCTCCGTTGTAGATATCTGCTAAATCCTATTATCTAATCCTACTCTCACTCCTCCGCTCTCCTAATAATCATCCTCTCCCCTTTCGTCTCCTCTCCTCCCATATTCTATCCCCTCCCCTTCCCACAAACCCTACGCTCTTCTCTCTCCTCTCCTCTCGGTTCCTCTCATCTCTCTTCCCTTCCCCCCACCCACCAATCCCATCAATCTTCATCCCATCCACCAACCCATACCTCAACCCCATCCACCTCTTCATCACAAACCCTCCTCCCCTGCCAACCCCCAACAAACCAGCCAAAAATGCAATCTAACCCAAATCGGTCGCTTAGCTCAGTTGGTTAGAGCGTGGTGCTAATATCTTCTCTACATTTGTATAGAGATTCAAAACGCCAAGGTCGCGAGTTCGACCCTCGTAGTGATCATATGATGTCTTTTTGCTGTTTCTGCTGTTGCTTTAGAGCTGCACGTATGCATGTACGTATTGATATTAAAGATGGGAGGAGGGGAGGGTTGGTTGAGATGGATGTGGAAGATTGAGATGAGATTGGGATGGAGATGGAGATGGAAGTTTTGGTCCGATGTGTGTGGTGGGTCGTGGTGGGTTGAGAG